GTTAAGCATTGTTCTCTGCTGTTAAGGCCTTTACTTTTGCGAAACGTGTGGAGAAGTTAATTTGATTTTTCAATTTCAACTGAGAAGGGTACCTACAAGTATCAGTATCATCTTATGAAATTTATATGATCTTATTTTTATATTAATCTCAATTATGACATTTTTCCATAAATGAAATATCAAAATTAATAATAAAATGAATGGAAATGCAAATAACACAGTAAAATGTAATAAATGTACATAAAATTATAGTATTTTATGTACACTTCTGATAAAATTTCATAAGAAAGGTACCTATAAATTAATTAGACACCTTATGAAATATGAAATTTAATCTCACTCTTAACAGTCTTATTTTAATTTCTTTAGAATATATTTTCCATAAAGCATCGTAAACGTAAAGGTGAAAGCTAAGTACAAAAAACAACTTAGAGTGCTGAAAGTTTTCAAAATATTTTAAATTAACATTATAATTTCTGATTTTCTTAAAATAAGTTTTGAAAAAATGATAATTGATTTTTAAAAGAATTTCAAAGTGAGATTTTTATCTTTTTTATAAAATGGAAAAAAAATGGATGCCATAATCGATTATCTGTCAATTTTGCTGACTCAAAAAAAACAAGATTTTTAACGAAAATTTTGGACGTGCTTGGAACAATTAAAAAATGTAAAAAAATACCCCCAAAATACTTTGATCTTTCCTTTTAATAATAACATGTTTTGTTTTGTTTTCGTCAAGTTTGGCGTCTTTTTCATCATGCTATGCTCTTTTTTAGCGATCTCATGAAGGTACCTACTTTTACTGTTGAATTAGTTAAGTGTAACTGCCACTTCTACTCCAATTTTTTTTTCTTGCACTTCCCATCTGTGGAACTCCTTTCCATTTCTTTGTTTCCCTGATAACTACAATCTTCAAAAATGTCTTCTATCTTGAACCCCTGTTGAACCTTTCCTCAGTCCCCCTTCTTTTCTCTTACCTTCACTCTCTGTAACCCTCTGAGTACTAGTGGCATTCCCACCTTGTTTGGGGTGAAATGATTTAAAAAAATAAAAAATATAAGTTTTTATTTTAACTTGTTGAAAGTATTTGAAATTTCATAAGATGCTTTCTTTATGGTATGATGGACATATTTTGTTTTTTTTGTCCATTCTTTTAATGATTAAATAAAAATTGACATTCATGATCTGGAGTGCTTATTTGATGATAATATGAAATATTATTTTTAGAAAAAGAACTCTTGGAGTGTTGCATTTCTGTAGAAAAGCTAAGTTTATTACATTAACTAGAAGTGTAACTGATAAACTGAAGAAAAAAAAATGCTCTAGTCATTAATCATACAATAAACCTTTATTTCACGTAGTGACACCAAACACAATATTCTTAAACTTTAAAATGGATACATTTTTTAAAACTATAAAAATTAAATTAAAAAAAGCACGACTTAAATAAACTGGTCAACTCTATTAAAAAAAAAATAGAGAAAAAGTTTTCGGAAATTATTATTATTTTTTTTTTTTTTGTAGATTAACCTTCTTCAGGTTGCACTATTTGCCAAAATCAAAAAATATTGGTTTATTATTGTTGTAGCATACCTATGGACAATAATGGGTATGTCCCTGTTTACATAAATACAGTATGTTGGTCTGTAGCTGGAGATCCACTGAAGGCAGAGAGGATTCCTAGATGAGGCTATGTTGAAGAGCGTGGGGAGGTTGGTAGATATCCTGCAGCTGGAGATTCATTGTGGAATTCACTTGACTCACTTCTAGCAGTTGACTACTTCTACGCGCTGCTGGTGAATCTTATGTGTTGTTCATGTCCTAAGTATTATCATTCATTACCAACTTTCGTGGGATTATTCTACTCAGTAACCTTTCGTAGGTTACAACAATTATATTTATCGATTGAGGAAACAGGTCCTGTTTATCATGTCAATACCAGGTTAAATCAATCCCTGAGAGTTTGCCTTAGGCAAAGTCACGTGACTGATATTTCAAATGTCAAGCTTGAGAATATATTTAATTAATAATATACATTATCTGTCTATATGTCTGAGATGAGGTATTATGTATACTATTTACATTATTCGGACTATTGTCCTCATCTTTGTCGCTATATTTATCACAATGTTTCGGCCATTGTGCACTCTGGCCTTCTGGTTGGAATGTCGAACTGAACTCTTTATTTCGCTCACTGGGGTAGACATTCCAACCACCTAAAGAAGGCCAGAGCATACATTGGCTGAAACGCTGTGATAAATATGGTGACAAAGATGACAATAGTCTGAATAATGTAAATAGTATAATAATATATATATTTTTAAAATTTTCTAAATTTTTTAACATTTTTTTTTTGTATGTGATTTTTTGGTAGAAACATTTGATAGTCATAGTTGTTTATTGTAGACTAAGATTAGTAGACCAAATGAATAAATCATTTTGTAAATTTTTGTTCTGTACATAAAAATGTATATATTCGTTTGTTTGCTATTTTAGAGAAAAATTATCTAGCGTAACCTTATCCCCCCAAAAAAACAACTTGTAAAAGTCAGGGAATGATTTGGTACTGTATTGGTATTATAAACAGGATCCCCATTCTAAATTGATAAAAAAAGTAAGATTTTTTCAATTCCAACAAGTTTTAAGGCCTAAGAAAGGTCTGTAAATAATAGTAATCTGCAGAAATTATTTCCACATAATTTTCCCTATTTTTATGAGTGGATCAGTCTATTCAAGTAGTGACTAAAAAGTATTATTTGTCAGCTTATAGATATTGAAGAATGTATACATAACCACCCTCAATTTACTCATTGAGTATGGAGTGAATTCATGATTAATAATCTAAGAGACCTATTCACTAACCATGACAATGACATGACAAAGTACATGACTAATGGAGAAACTGTTTACCTATATAAACACTTCATGACAGTTGATTTGACAAATGTATGTTAACATATGCATTCAACATACATATATTCAAGAAGAATCAGTAATGTTATCAGTCCTGACCTGGCATCTTGGCTTCAGTCACTTTCCCATAGCTGTAATGTAGCTTCTCTGTGCCTTTTCTATAAGTACTTTCATGGTAATTGTTCTGATGAGCTTTCTTCTTGGATACCTTAACTTTACAAATTTAATTACACAACTAGATTGGTAGCTAGATTTCATCATTTTATAGTTGAAATGGCTAGATGTAACTGTAAGTTCTATGTTAACAGTTTCTTCTCTTGCACTTCTCACTTGTGGAAATCTCATCTGACTTCTTGCTTTCCAATCAACTTTTAAATCAAAAATTTAAATGCAGTGTCAATTATTACCTTATGTTTCCCTAATTGCTTTTATTTTATTGTTCTCTCTCTTAATGTTTTTTTTTTTTCTCAGATTCTTTCAGACTTCATAATACCTTGCATTTTAGTTGCTTTATCACATTGCTTGGGGTATAATGATTAAAAAGAAATATACAAAAAACCCCATTGAGTATAGGACCACAGTCTCATCACACTAAGTGTTACTGATGTGGTTTTCATAGCAGAGTATGTTTTTATGAGGTGGAATTGCTAATTCCCCACTCAACCAAAGCTAGAGAACATAGTTTTCCCTGCTATTAATCCATCAGTTATGTGCCATGCATGATACACGCTTAGGTAATCATGTGTCTTTCAATACATGACTAACGAGGCAAATTTTTCCCTGCAGTAGATTGCCATTTCTTTGTGCAGTAGACCAGTTGCCATCTAAGGCTATAGAACCTGGTCTGTCGTGTTATTTACCCAGAGCTAGGGAGGGGGGGAGGAGAAAATTCATGCCTTTTCTAAGGGTATTAGCACCTAAGTGAATGTAATGAATTCGATTGGAATTTGAACATGGCTCTCCAATTCCTCAATTTTAGCCGCTATCCATTACTGCACCATGCTTCCTGTGATTAATCACATATTTGCACATTGCACACTATTCTGAGCCAATCTTTTATGTGATTAATCCCTAGTAATTATATAATGTAATTACTATACAACAGGCTAATTCCTGCTATTAATCTCCAGCTGGCTGAATAGAAAAAGATGGATTTATACTTATTTCAAGAGTATTTGTGTGAAAGTAAATGCTATAATTTTAATCTCACTCTCCATACTGATAACATTTATGCTATGCACACATCCTAATTTTGACAAAATGTCACAGTGTAGAACCCTGCACACTTATTTGTTGGTGTGATGAAAAATTATCCATTCCTCTCTTTGGATTACCTCAGACATCAGGGATCACCCTGACTCTCCTCTCTATGAGTTTGGGAAGGTGGAGGGCGGGGACATATTGGAATGCATTATTTTGTACCAATCAATTTAAAAAGTGTTCTACTTATTTAACATGAAGAGTTGAACTAAGGTACCCGATGAGGGTAGAACTCACTAAGAGTTTATAAGGAGATTCAAAAAAAAAAATAAACAAAAAAATAATTAAAATGTGCTGTGTTAACTCAATATACATATTTGCACATTGTACCATTATTCCAGACTGAGCTAATCTTTCATGTGATGTGGTTTTGTATTGACTTATTTGTTTTCTGTGCTATCACATGTTATTAAAATATTACAAGGACAATTTGCTGGGTACTGCAGCAGAACCTCCATAAGTGACCTGCTACAGAATGATATGTGTTTTCAAAGAATTTGCATCTCATTTGATGACAGGATTAAAATAAATTCTTCAAATGTGTGCATGATTTGAGGAAACGAATTCAAAAATCAGTTTCTTTTCAAAGTTGTGACAGGGTGAGTCACAAAATTGGGAATGTACCTTATATATGAGAGCAAAATTTGATTCAAAGCCTTTTTCATATGATGGACATTTTCAAAATTTGCACGTTTCACTGGCTTTTGTTCTTGATAACAAGATGTTCTCCTGTTCATAATCCTTACATTTGAAAGTTTCTGCCTACAAAGCAGGTCTCCCCACGACCGAAATCAGGTTTCTATACTTATTCAATCTGAACTTACAAAGGCCACATCATGTTGAAACACCGGGTACTGTATTATCACCAAAGTTAAGCAACATTGAGCTTGATTAGTACCTATATAGGTGACCTCTCGGGAACATCGGGTGCTGTAAACTTAGATGTGATGTAATAGATAATTGCTCAGAATTGATAAATGGAGAGCTGAGTTCCAATTCCTGTTGAGTTTGTTATATTCACTTACATGCAAATTCTCTTTGGAATTCACCTCTTCTCCCTCCCAGCTATATATAAGTAAACTTGTAATCATTGAAAGACTTGCATCATTAAACCATTATTATCTCCAAAAAAAATTCTTACAATCTAATAATATTTTCTGTCTTTAAATAACCTGTAGAAAGTTGATAAGCAATAGAAAACAAAGCAACTAACCAAACTCACAATACAGCAATGTGGTGTTTCAACATGGAGTAATGGTTACCAAAGCTAATCTGACTGACATTACCATTGAGTAGTGAGTTTAATCCTCATTGGATGATGACATTAAATAACCCAACAAGTGTTGACATGCTGTAAAATCATCCAATCTAACCTAACCGATACAGCAAGGGTCTGTGATATAAAACCACCAGAGTGAGATGCCATAATAAAAATCTATATCAAGAAAAAAAAGCTGATTCTCTGTCCCACATACACTGTCTGTATGCAGCTTTGTATGCACATATATTATTTATATGCTTATGCTGTTTAATATATTGTATGAGCAATCATATATGCACACAATTTGATTGAGTTTGAAATAAGATATTGGAATAATCCATTCCTCTCCTATTCAGGGCTTACGGCTATATCATGTTAAAACATTGGTTCTCATACGATCATCAAAGTTAAGAAACGTTGAGCCTGGTCAGTGCCTAGATGGGTGACCACTTGGAAATACCAGTTGCTATAAGTTTTGATGTGCTGCTTGTACTGTAATGGATAATGACTTGGAATTTTTAATTCGAGAGCCGAGTTCTAATTCCAGTTGGGTCCATTATTTTCACTTGCACAGAAATACCCTGGAGAAAGATATGAATCCATCTCTTCTCCCAGCTATGGATTAATTAGTAAGATTTGTATTACTGAATCATTATCATGTAATACAAGTCTTAGTAAGACTTGTCTTATTGAATCATTATTATGATTCAGTAATACAAGTCTTACTAATTAACCCATAGCAAGAACAAAAGAAAAGTAATCAGGAGGACAGTAGATGGCGATTGACATTGCATTTAAATTGTTGAAGATTAAAGTTGGCTGGAAAGCAAGGAGCCAGGAGAGAGTTCCACAAGCAAGTAGTGTGAGAAAAGAAACTGTTAGAGAATTTACAGTTACATCTACCCAACTCAAATATAAATTGGCGAGACCTCATCGCCAATCTAGTACTGCACTTAAATTCAAAAAGTCTAGGTACGAGGCAAAGAGTGATATTCATTTTGTAATAAAAATACAAAAATGTGACACTAGGCCAAAAAGTGGGGGTAGGCTAGTCTTCTGTCTTAAATTTAAACTTAGCTAGCCACAATCACTGACCCAAACATACCATAATATTCCTTACACCAAAACAATACATTCTTACTGCATCCACCATAATACCTCAGAATCTCCATGAAGAAGTCCTAACTAGTCCACATATGTATAATTCTTGTCTGGGGGTAAAACAAATAAAAAAAAACCATGGTGAAGAGTTCATCTGAACAGTTTCCATGAAAGTATTTATAGAAAAGGCACAGAGATGTAACTTTACAGTGACTGAACCCAAGATGCCAGAACAGGACCAATAATATTGCTGATTCTTTGGATTTTTAGTATCTGTCTATATTTCATAGAAAAGCAATAACAACAGCAAAAATTGCAATTTGAGCACTGATAAAAAAAAATGGTTGCTGAAGACATTAGGTTTAAAATACCCAGAAATTCATACACAGATGTCCTCAAGGATACATGGCACAGTTGATAAAGGCATTAGTTAGATCCAGTGACAGGACCCAAAGAGTGTGAGTCAGTGGAGAACTTGGAGAGGGGAATTAACAGGCGATAACTGACATCACGTGGAACTAGAACAGTGAGAACTAAAGTAGAACAGTCTACCCCAGTGAGTGAAGTAAAGGGTTCAGTTCGACATTCCAACCACCTGAAGAAGGTCAGAGCATACAACAGCTGAAACAAAGATGAGGACAATAGTTTGAATAATGTAGTCTTTAGATTTTATCAAGGATTTCTCGATATATATGGGGAGCATAAGTGGAAGCAATATTCTAAGCATGGATGAATGGTAGACTTGTAAATATGCAAGATTCAGGGGCAAAAATTGTCTAGTACAACACAGTGAACCAACTTTCTTAGTAGCGTACTTAGCAATCGATTCAGTATACTTTCCACTTCATGTCAGCCGAGAAGGCATAATGAGTCACTTTCCTGGAGGATAGCATCAGCCATGCTGATGGAAAACAGAAAGATAATTAATAGAGCAGTTTAGTTTGGAGGCATTAAAATTAACAGGCCATCTTTTGCCCCAATTAACAACAAACTGAAGGTTGTTTTTAACATCAGCCGCCAGTTTGACTTTATCAGACTAAACAGATTTAATATCAAGACAGGAGTAAATGGTTGTGTCATCAGAATAGATACAAAATTGAGAAAGTCGTTAATGAAAATTAAAAACAAAGTAGTACCAAGGATAATACCCTGGGGAACACCTGTGTTAGTACAAAAGAATCTAGAAGAGTGACCATTCAAGACAACGTTCATTTCATGATTTGATAAAAAAAAGAACTAATCAGATTGAAAATTTGTCTTGAAACATCATAACTCTGCAATTTGTGAAGAAGACCTGCATGTCAAACTATGTCAAAGGCTTTTGAGATGTCCAAAGCAACAGTCCGAGCTGCACCATTCTTATCTAGAGATTGATAGACTCTATGTTTTGAACAATAAAACATCTTAAAAAATTAAAATTTTCAGGCACACTGGGTTGTATATTAATATTTTTTCATTTTATTATCTCAATTAGATTCCTTGACTAGTTTCAGCCAGCATGACCATCATCAGGAGAAAAAATTTTCTGCTTGTTAGCAGCAGTGAACTACAGAAATGAATGACTTGATGGAGAAAATGAACTTTATCTGTAGTTTTCATTTGTTTTTTATTTTTTAATAATTCATTTTGGTCAGTCCTTGTGTTGGTCAAACAGTCCCTTTTTAATTTGTTATTTAAGATAAAGGCTAAATGGATTCATCCTGCTCTGAATTCCCTTGGTCATTTGATAGTTTTATTGGTTCCTGAAAAGGGGATTTGTCTGTGTTAAGTGTGTGTTATTTAGTTCTTAGGGAGTGAGTGAGTATGATGTGTGTAAGTGTGTATATTAGTATTGTTGTGTGTATAAGTGTGAGGCCTCACCATCTCTCTCTCTCTCTCTCTCTCTCTATCTATCTATATATATATATATATATATATACACACACACACACACACACATGAGGTGTGATGGATGAATTGGCATCAAAATTAAGCAAAAATGAAAATAAGACTGAGATCTCATTTTCACAGATATATTTATCAAAATTACACAAAAATACCTTCAAATACTAAAAAGCAAACATATTCAATAAAATTGCTATTGGCTTCAACCAAAAAAATATCTTCAAATACTAAAAAGCAAAAGTATTCAATAAAATTGCTATTGGCTTCAACCAAAAAAATATCTTCAAATACTAAAAAGCAAAAGTATTCAATAAAATTGCTATTGGCTTCAACCAAAAAAATATCTTCAAATACTAAAAAGCAAAAGTATTCAATAAAATTGCTATTGGCTTCAACCAAAAAAATATCTTCAAATACTAAAAAGCAAAAGCATTCAATAAAATTGCTATTGGCTTCAACCATGGCCTCCAGATGATTTTGGAATCTTCTGCAACTCTTCTGGATGGTCTCCTTGTTTATGTTGGTGGATGTTGCCATAATCCTTGACTTCAGTTCATCTTTGGTGTTACAAGGAGTTCAACTGCACCCCACATAATAATCAAGTGGGTTGCAGCCTGGTGAGAAGATATAAGGGGTGATGTGGCCACAGAAATTGTCTGGCAGCCATGATTGGGTTCTCCTGTTTGTGTGGCATGGTGAAGTGTTATGTTGCCAGACATAGGGTCTTTCAGACTCAGACTCAACACCGGTGCCTACATCAAGTTCCTTGAGGAGGTAGTGCTTCCCTGGATCAAGAGGGCAGCTGCTGGAAGACCCTATGTCTGGCAACAGGACTCTGCACCCTGCTACACATGCAGGAGAACCCAGTCATAGCTGTTGGGCAATTTCTGTAATCACGTCATCCGTTACATCTTTCCATCTAACTCTGTAGACTGCAACTTAAACCAATTTAAATAAGGAGACTCTCCAGAAGTGTTGCAGGAGATTCTGGAGGCTATGGTTGAAGCCAATGGTGATTTTATTGAATAAATTTACTCTTTACTATTTCAAGATATTTTTGTGTAATTTTGGTAAATATATCTGTAGGCGATCTGGAATTGCAAATAAAATATTTGTCATAGATTATTTCCACAATGCAGAGAATAAATCACTAAGTTCAGACTCGAACATCAGGTGCAGAAAGAAATGCCGAAAACTCGATTCATAGGTACTATCTCACAAATCACAATGCACATAACCAGTTAGAAAAATAACTCATTCTCCAACAAACATGGTAGCCAAAATACTAGACTTCTCCCCGATTCGAGAACACCAACTGCTTTTATCGGCTGAGCATTTTTTCCATTCGTCAACAGCTGGAAGAGGACGTTCAATTTTTGCATATCAAAATACTTTTATAGCGACTCCTGCGATGGACTTGTCTTTTAATTTAAATATTCTGTCTTCAGCATGTCAGGCAGAATATGTGCCCATGTTTTTTTTTTGGTAAGTAATTTTCTTTTTCGCCACATTTTGTGTCATAGGATACACGCTGTTGCTTGGTTTGACGAGGTAAGTCGCCATTTTCTTCGCTATAATATCTTAAAATGAAATGTCAGTGTTATTTTCATTTTTGCATAATTTAAACGATAATTTATCCATCGCACCCTATATATATATTCAATAAATTAAGAAAATTTTAAGTGACATCTAGTTAGTCACCTCAAGTGTTTCTATTGAAATTCTCATCAGGGCCAAATGTTTGATAGAGAGAAATAGATACAGGCACTGAGATTTACTGATATTTGAATTTCTACAAATTAATGCATTAATGACAAGTTATCAAAATGAAGTATGCCAATGGATGTGTGAGCAGTGGAAAGTAGAATCATTGATCTGAGTTCAAATTCCGCTCTAGTTTGTTGCATTCACTTCCACAAAATTTCACTTGGGAAAATCATCTTTTCTCCCCCACTATTTATAGGTTAAATAGTAGGGTAAACTGGGCTCTTTATCCTTTGGTAGCAGCCATTCAAAACTTTGAATTCCAAACCATGAAGAAGGTAACACCAAACCATTCCACTATCTTTTCTAAGAATGCATGGCAGTTTACAGGTAATAAAGAAAGGGAATCATAATTGCTTCTGTCCTTTTGAATAAATTGCATTTATTTATGTCAAATGTTTATTTTTATTTTTTACTTTTCACAAAACCTTGTATTTTCAAGAGACATAGTTTTCATATAATTGTAACTATGGTAAATATTTTTTTATTGATATTATTTTTTAAATATCAATTATTTTGATAATTGTATGTATAATGGGATCATTTAATCAAAAATTAATCAAATATGGACAAATGTGCCCGCAATAAAATGGATTGTCAAAAGGACAGTTTTTCCCATGACACTGCTTTTTTAACTACCTTCATTCTTTGCCAATGTTTATCTATCAAATTTTGTGACTTCCGTTAAGCTGTCTATCACATTCTCTAAAATAGCCATATATTGACTGAATTAAACCAAATTCCATGGAGTAGTACAAACAGGTAAGGGGGTGGAAAGTACAGTTGGTTTTACTAGGGGTGCGTAGCTTAGTACAATAAATTTTCATTAATTTTTTTTTTATTATTGAACATACAAAATACTTCCACTATTTTGAAAACAATTTAATGTTTAAAATAATAAATATTTATTTAATAAAAATGCAATATTATTTTTTGCATATCTTTGAGTTTTGATATATACATGTATCCAGTTGGGCACCTTGAGGCAGTGTAATGGTTAACAAGCTTGTCTCGCTAGAACAATTACGACTGAGTAGTGAGTTTGATCCTCACTGGGTGCCCCATACTTTTGGCCTTGTGCCACATTTAATCTACGCTTGGAAAATCACTATACAAGAATCCAGTTTCCAGTTCAGCCTATGTTTGTGAGGACTAAACAAATCACAATGCTAAACACTTCAAAATGTTGGAATTTGACGCCAGAAAGAAATATTTATGCATGGCTGCATGCTCAAGAGTAAGAAATCCTAAGAATTTATTCTTCACTGATAAAAAGAAAAAAAATGTTTTTCTTAAAAGTTATTGTTTATCACAAAATCCTATAAGATTCAAGGAATTATTCAACTGCGATGTAAGGTTTTGTTGAAGTATTTTTCCAAACAAGTCAGTTTATTCAAATTTTATTGATTGGGTTGCAAAATTGAATGAAACTAAAAATATAATTGAGAATAAAACATGATGAAAGTGAAATTATAAATTTTTTGTTCTTGAGAATTTATAACAAAAATATTAAATTATTTATTAACAGGCTTCTAAAAACTAAAAACCAATGCAATGCAATTCCAATTTATAAAGAAATAAATATGGGAAAACAAGTTTTTATTCATAAATTTATAAACATTTACTAAAAAATTATTAAAATTTGTAAACCATCTATAAGAAAATCCTTATTAACCATTTTATAAAGTTTGTGAATCAAATTCGTCCTTTTGACACTATTTCTTATTGCGGGCTCGTTTGCCAAAATATTTTTCCGAATTACCGGATTATTATTTACAGGGTATTTCTTCGTAATTCACCGTCGAAGAATTTAAAAAGCATGGCGCTGACAGTATGGCAACAATAGTCAGATTTTCTCGAACATGTTTTTTGTTTCTGTTTATTTTCACTTTTTTATTATTCTATTGTTCTTTTCTCTTTTGTTTTTTCCCCATAAAAAAGAACCCAGGAAATGTCTCCACGCAGAAAGATATTTCCCAGTCGTCATTTAATGACAGTATTCGTGATTATTATAAGAACTTTCCTCGGCAAGCGTTGTTCAAGCGTTTACTGTTCGTTGTAATCGATTCTTTACGCGCAGATTTTGTGATCGACAATCGATATTCTTTTATGCCATATCTTCACCAGCTTTTACAGCAGGGCAAGGCCATAGGCCATTATGGCATCACTCACCCACCTACGGTGACATTACCCCGTATTAAAGTAAGTTTAAAAAAAAAAAAGTTTATTTCGTTCAGGTGGGCTGCTTTATTTTTCCTTGACAGAAAAATAAGATTACCTGTAATAATTTTTCTTGAGTTTCTGTTGTACTGCTATTGGTTTGGCCAAAAAGTTTCTTCGGTTTATTAAGCAAATTTTCTACTTAGTAAGCGAACTTTTTTGATCAACCCAATATCTAATGTGTATAAAAAGTTTCCAAAATTTATTGTTTGGAACTTTTGCACACGCTTGAAGTCTCAGTGTTGGGTACAAGAGTGCTAATCATTACTACTTTGAGAGTTCGACTCTTACTGTGTCAATGTCCTCCATACTCGTGGCCTTATGCCAAACTAAATTAATAAAAAAAATAGAGGCTTGTTCTTTTTTTTTTTTTTTTATTTAAAAAAAAAACGAAAGCAAGGTTTTTCTCATTTTGTTTTCCCCCTCTTTTTCATCCATCTTCTTTTCTTTTTTATTATTTTCTTCATCTTTCTGTTTCTTTCGCTTTTCAGTTATTTTTTTCACTCTTTTCCCATTCTTTCGGTTTAGGGATGTCCTCTACTTCGCTAAAAAAGTGGCATATCCTAATGAAAAAAGGCCCCAAACTTAATAAAAACAACGTTTTATCGAGAAAAACTTTGTTATTAATAAGAGGAGAGACCAAAGTATTTTTTAATTATTTTTTGAAAATTTTTATTCCTTTTTAGCACGTTTGAATTTGTGGTTGAAATTTTTTTTTTTTAGCTCAAAGGTCACCTCATATTTTGCATTAGCTTTTAGAAAGCTTTATGGAAATATTGGGGAAAGAGTAGTCAGCTTCACTACCTTTCGATCGTGTACTTTTTAAAAAAATTGAGGAATGATGACAAATGTTTTCTATAGTTTTTTAAAATTGAAGGTAATTTCTGTAAAAAAAATGTTTGGATATCAAATCAGAAAATCTTGAAAAGTTGAACTGGAACCCTACCAAAATAATTCAATAAAAAAACTCAAAAAATATTTTTGCTAAAAGTTGGTGCTTGCAGCTTGCTTAGTTAATAAAATACATTATTATTTTCTTTTAGATTTGACAGGGAAAAAAGATCTATCTACAATGAATATTTATTTTTGAAGTTGTAATTTTATCATCCATAAAAAAAAAAAATGATCTATTGATTCTAAGAGTTGTGAAAATAAAGTTATTTAAAAAATATTTCTGATGCAAAAATGACATCAAACTTGATATTTTTCGATTCTTCAAACACATATTTATTTATTTAATAAAAAATACTTTTGTCATCAGTAACATGAAAAAATTTAGTGGAGATTTATTGAGTTTTATCATCTCCTCCTACACCTTATTTTTTAACACTTTTCGTGTAATAAATTTAAAAATCAGAATAATTATAAAAACCTCATTGGTGTAATTAATAAATATTTTAACATCAAACAGGTAAGTAATAAATAAAATAAAAGCAATGAATTAATTAAACTCAGAAGTATCATTTATAGTTTTAATTCATTTTATTTTTCTTTAGAATAAAAAAATAAAATTCATTCTACTAAGTTTCATGAAAGCATATAGAATAAAAATATTACATTCTTAAACTTGATTATGTAAAGTTAAAGTAAAGATAATTTATTTTTTTACCAATTTCTTGATTATTGTACTGCTGCTGCTCCATGTTTGAAAAAAAAAAAAATTTAAACTTTTTTTTTTTTTTGTACACTTCAGGGTTGGCTGTAGGTAATTACTGTTGTTGACTTGACCTTGATGACAGCCCACAATCTACCATGCATAAATAAACCGTATTTTGATTATGTTTTTTAAGCAAAAAGCAAGCATTACTTTTACAAAATTCAGTTAATCCTTAAATTTACTAATTTGCTTTTAAATACATCTGTAGGACAGTTATTGAATTTTCAAGAGATTTTTAAATTTGTTATTTCTTATCTATAATGGTGCTTTGAGTTTTGATGAGTGACAAATGAATATGAGAATGATTTTAAAATGTCTAAAAACTTCAGCTTTAGGCTCTTATCTTTCAAATAAAACAAAAATTTTACTAAAATGGAGGCATTTAAATTATTTTAAATACATTTTTAAGGTCTTTAGCTCAAATTTTGGCAGTACCTACCTTTTACTAATTACTTGGTAATGACCTACCACACAAAAAAAACAATTCTTTCAATAAAATTACCAAGTTTTTTTACTCCAAAAAGAAAAATGGAAAAAATGTTTTTGTTTAAAAGTTGAAGTTATGTACTTATGAAACAGTTTGTGCATGAAGGCAGCTTGTTAATTTAACAGCGACATTCCAGAACAGCCCTACAGTCTTCGTATTTATCTGAAAAGGTATCCTGTGCTCTGAGGACTGAAGGTTATTTTAATCTTATTCATTTTTGTTTTTCTTTTGAAAATTTTTCAAGTTGAAATTATTGGAATGAGATGGCAGGAAATATAGTGATTAAATTAATGCATTTCTTTCATCAAAAATAAACTGGACAAAGCCTTGAACAAAGTGTTTGAAAATGTTATTTGATGATACAAATATGAAATTTATTTGAAAAAAATGACTTTTTATTTTTCCATAATTTAGGTATTCAATTATCCAGAATTTTTCAAACCTGTCCTAAGTTTTTTTTTTTTTTTTTTTTTACAAAGGCCACTCAAGGCAAAGAGTTACAGAGTAAGAGGCACAGTTTATGTGAAAATCTGAGGAAGATAATGGTTAACCATAGACTTGAACAGGTTAAGATTGATCAGGGAAGAATCTTAGGAGTCAGTTCCACAAAGCAGCTTTTCATGGGAATAAGCTGCTTTTTTTTATTAAAGTAATGCTCAAGAGCCACTTAAGGTAGTGGGTTACCGAGTGAGGTGTGTGATATGAATGTAAGAGGAGGCAGTCGGAAGTGAAGATATCTAGGATGGAAAACAACTGACCCAAAACTTGAAGAGGTTAAGATTTTAGTGCTTAGTGAAACATCCATGTGGTAGTCTTTTCTACAAAGTACTGGTTTTTATGAAGAAGCCAAGTGGAACTCTCTTGTTACCAATGCAATATAAAAGGAATGAGGGTGGTTCATTACAATGTGTGTGTTATGGTGGGTCTTAGCTGTGAAGGTTAGAACTGGTGGAACAAAGGAATGTTGTTCATCTGAACACTTTCCATGGAAATCACGATAATGTAGTAAGAGGCTTGTGACTTTTCACCTGTGAGAATATTTTTTTAGACTATCAGCCACATAATGCTTTTGAACTCTTTTGAGACTGGAAAGTCAAGACTGACCACCTCTTGCCCATATATGGCAGCAGTAATCCATTTTCAGTCTGTGTGGATCCTAGTTTGGTTTGGTTTGGTTTCTTTGTTTTACGGCATATCAGCCTCAATGGGTTATTTAATACTGACAATTTTTATTACTGGTAATTTTTTTTTATCAAAAATGTATTTCTGGTAATATCTTTTTTTCAAAAATGTATTGCTGGTAATTTTTTTTACAAAGAATTTCTGGTATTAAAATCTATTTTTACACTTTCATAGTGTTTTGACCCCAGTTTGGGGGTTAACTATTTGCCCATAGCTGGGACCCTAACAGGTGCTACCACTCCAGATTAGGGTGGACCTGGGAACACCAGCAATTAAGAAGTGGTTCCATGTACCTCAAAACTCAGAGGCCTTGCTGTTGGATGTAGTTTAACATCATACCTAGGATGACTAGATCTTGTAACCAACCATTTTTCAAGTATCTTTAACATTGGATCATATGTATGAATTCCACTTGATGTCTGGTTAGAGTTTACACCCAAATAGGTTCTCAAGGTATGGCACCTTCCTGAGAGAACACACATTCATCACAATAGGTGAAAATTCAGAGTCCATTCAGTGATGACAGAACATCAATAGTTAGGTCTTTCTGGAAAGTATGTCTTAATTCTTAATATATTGAGAACTGGTTGTGTGGCCTTGATGTGACTTGACAAACAATCAATCAGAAGGAATGTTTCTGCATGTGCATGAACAGACACTCTCCTGTTGGGTTACTCAGTTAGAAATGAGACATCAGTGAGTGAGGTTGAGTAATGTGTTAACCTTGTTTTCACCATAACAATGCCCTCCTCCCAAATTCAGTTTAGATAAAATTAATCAGATGCTGGATATTTAAATATTGCTATTATACATGAATTATGATTTTATTTTCATTTTGACTAATATCTTCATCTTTGTTATCACATTTCTTCTGTTGTGCCCTCCAGCCTTTTTTAGGTGCATGTTGATCCAAGTAACTTTCAGGGAATTTTGAACTGAACCCTTTATTTAATCTACAAGGGTAGATTGTTCTCTTTCTGTTGTCCATGTCTAGGAATCTCTCTTTTTTAATTATTTATTTATTTTTTTTTTTAAGTATTGCTCATTTATTGCTTGGTCTGTTTCCACTGAGTTTGTGTTTGATGTGGACAGCAGAATGATAATAATCTGCCCCTGTAGATTAAATAAAGCGTTCAGTTTGAGATTCCCTGATGATTACTCTGTTTGATAGCCACCTGAAGAAGGGCTTAGGACACAATGGCTGAAACATGGTAATAAGAAAAATAAGGACATTAGTTTGATTTAAATAGTGTAAGTAATGTGTTGTAACCTAGAAAGGGTTACTGAATGAGGAATAACCAAAACAGTGGCTGGAAATGAAATGGTAATCTTTATAGCATCAACAAAATACAATGCTTGCCAGCAGCATGAAGTAGGTAAACCACTACTAGTGGTGTACTACTTAGACAGCATATTACCCCCACTTACAATAGTGTCCAATGTATTTATGAGGATTGGAACATACCCATTAGTGTTCATAGGTCAGGTATATAACATAATGATAACACCTCATTCCAGAAATTCTGATAGAAGGTGATCAGGTGATAATAACAACAAAGATGAGGAGAAAGCCAAAATATAAATAATGTAAATAATGATAACTCCTCATCCCAGAAATCCAGACAGAAGGTGATCAAGTGACAATAACAACAAAGATGAGGAAAATAGTCAAAATATAAATAATGATAATTCCTCGTCCCAGAAATTCAAACAGAAATTAAAGATTTTTTAAAGAATAATTGGTAACTGTAGTTTCAAAGACAATGCTCAAATCTGTTAAAATTAAATTATTTCAATACAGTGTTGACCACTATAACCAGAAAATGTAAAATAGAAAAATCTAAAAATCATTAAAAATCTTACAGCCCAGTAATTTTATAAAAATAAAAAAAAATATTTTACTTATATTAGATCACTGTAGATATGATTGTCTATAATTGTTAAATTAGATTTTCATATTTTTACATAATACAGTAGTCCTTCCTTTTCGACAGCAGATATGTTCCAAGATACTCAATGGATTCCTGAATATATACTATTGTTTGTTTTTTTTTTCCTTTACAAATACTGTCGGATTTTATCATGCAAGTCAATGGTTTCACAATAAAATTGTTACTAACCAACTATTGCTAAAATTTACAAGAAAAAGTCATGAAACATCTTTCTTCTTGAGAATTTTAACCTTTTTAGGAAGCACTACTTCTCTGGCATATTTGAATCACCAGCATCACGACTCTTGTGTTTTGTGATCAGCATTATGTAAAACATAACAAAGATACTAGTGTGAATGTAAATAATGTTAATTCCACATCCCAGAAATTCAGACAGAAACTTATAGACAATGTGTTCTTTCTTTTTGCAGGCAATGATGACTGGAAGTATTCCAGGTTTTATTGATGTCGTCCTGAATTTTAATACAAATGCTCTACAAGAAGATAATCTCTTGTCGCAGTTGTACAAATCTGGAAAAAAAATTATATTTTATGGAGATGACACCTGGATAAAGTTGTTTCCCGGTCATTTTTTAAGACATGATGGCACAACATCATTTTATGTGACTGATTACACTGAGGTGAATATTTTATTGTACATTTATACATTCATACTTAATATGACTTAATATTGATTGCATTTATTGTTAATAAATATATTGGATTTTTATATTACATTATATATGAAATTTTATGATGTTCATATTGTTAATATGATATTTCATATAGCTAATACCTTAATGACCATAATAGAATTCCTTTATCATTCTTTCACATAATGAAGATGGGACAATAATGCATTCTGAAAAAAGACAACTGTTGGCTTCTGACAATGAAGATCAACGCTGAAAGAATGGCTGCATTCTTTTGTCAGTGCATACTTCTGGTTATTTTGTATGATGGAAGCATATCACTTTTTTGTAACACTGAATCAGAAGCTGTGGCTTTCACAGATTATTGTAGAAGTGATTGGTAATGCTCTTACAGTGGATGCAAGCACTGAAGTGACTTCTGGCTCCTGAGATAATAATGCTGCGATGACCAAGTCTTCTAGTACTTTATTTTATGTAGCCATGAGCCTAGATAATGCATAGGAATGACTAACTGTATTTGTTGAATTATATTTTATAGAAAAATTATAATCTAATAGCATAGTAGCCCATCTTTGCAGATAGTTTGCTGTATACACTGGGATGCCTTTTTAGATCCTAAAATACTAACATGTGGCTTGTGATCTGTGATCAGAGTGAAATGATGTCTGTACAGCATTTTATGGTACTGTTTAATAAGAAAGACTCTTGCTAATGCTTCTTTTTCAATTTGGCTATAATTACGCTAATGTTGATGTGTGAGTTATTGCCTTTTGGCTGTCATCAGGGAAAATGTGAGAAATGACGGCTCCAATACCATAATTGAAATCAGTAGAGACCACCAGAATACCCATGGATGGGTTGTTGTATGTCAGCAAAGGATTGGAAGGAAGTAAAGACTTTACCTTTGTGAAAACTACCTGACACACGTCAGAACACTTTCATGCAACATCTTTTTTCAAAAGATTGTTGAGGGGTGCAAAGACTCAAAATTCAGGCAAAAAAAAAGCACTGTAGTGGATAACTAAGCCTAGGAAAGAACATAATTTTGTTAAATTTGTCAGTGCTGGCATGATTTTTATTGCTGAGATATACCCTTTTTGTTGAAAACAAAAACCAAAATATTTAATTTGTTCTTGGAAAAATTCACACTATTCAGCTGAAAACAGAAAATAAATGTTGAAAAAGTTCATCTTGATTTGTTTCTGCAATGATGATGTCATCAGTGAATGATGATGTCATCAGTGAATGCTGCAACTCCTATCAATCTGGTGAACATGGTGTTCATTGTGTTGGAAAATGGCTGGTGCTGGTTTGACACTGAAGCTAAGACAGTTAAATCTGAATATTCCCTTGTGGGTGTTGATAGTAAGGAGCTCTTTGAACTCGTTGAAGAAAAATATTGGAAAGATCAACTTTTGCAGTAAGAAACAGTAAGGATTTGTTTGGATTTAAACCTTGAGTTCCACATTTGTATCAGCTTATGACCATGTTGAATTCAGAAGTGCTGTGGTCCAACTAGCAGACAAGAGATGTAACTCCATTGTATTTTGTTTGAGTTATCATCCTTTATGGGGGAAGTAAATTAACACCCGCTAACAGGTTATATATGAAATTTTATGATTAATGTTTCTATTATGATATGAGTTAATAATGATAACATTGAGCAATATTGTTAATATATGAGCTATATTGCATTATAGGTTATATGTGAAAATTATTTTAATATTATGATATTAGTTAATATTGATTGATATTGTTAATATATTAGATATTTAAACTGAAATGCCCCCAAAATTATATGCAGCTATATACTGGATAATCTTGCCCTCAACTTGTGTAACTTATGAAAAAACAAGGCATACTTTATTTTCGACATTAACTTTCTTGATCAACATATTCACAATTTTGTTACATTAGCTTAGGCTATTTTTCAGGCTACTTCATAATTCCATCATCTAAGAACATTTTATCTCTCTTAACAAACAATTGCTCTAGGTACCTCTTGCAGTCTTAAAACAAACAAATATTTCTGCATATTTGCTGTTATATTTATCAAACATTATTGTTGTTTATATACAGGGTGTGATGGGTAAATTGTTGCCATTTTATATTTTTAATTTCATGCATGTGTGCTGCTTGTTTTTGATTTTGTTGACTGCACGGTATAGTAGTCAGCTGGACATCATCTGTGAGAAAAAGAGTACTATGATGCAATTCATTCCACTAGAAATTTTGAAATGGCATGCTTGTACAGCCTGGCATTAGTGCCAGAAGCTTCAGTACAAACATTTCAGAATGTTTGGGTGTCAATCTGAGGACAGTACAGAGGATTCAGAAAGAGTTGGATAAGTACAGCAACTCTGAAAACTCACTCTGATCTTTTCTGGTAAGAAAAGTCAAATTTGTTGGTGAGGGCCTCAGACTCAACACCGGTGCCTACATCAAGTGCCTTGAGAAGGTAGTGCTTCCCTGGATCAAGAGGGCAGCTGCTGGAAGACCCTACGTCTGGCAACAGGACTCTGCACCATGCTACACATGCAGGAGAACCCAGTCATAACTGTTGGGCAATTTCTGTAATCACGTCATCCATTACATCTTTCCATCTAACTTTGTAGACTGCAACTCTTTTGATTATTATATGTTGGGCGCAGTTGAGCAAGAGACCAACAAAATTTCTTGTAACAGCATCCATCAATTTAAATAAGGAGACTGTCCAGAAGAGTTGCAAGAGATTCTGAAGTTGTCTGGAGGCTATGGTTGAAGTCAATGGTGATTTTTATTGAATAAATTTACTCTTTAGTTTAAAGATATTTTTGTGTAATTTTGGTAAATATAATTGTAAAAATGAGATAACAGTTTTATTTTCATTTTTGCATAATTTAGATTACAATTTATCCATCGCAATCTGTATAACACAAAATCTCATTGTGATAATCACTTAAATATAATCTATTAGCATTTTAATTTACAATAAGGTGTTATAGTTTGTTATGGCATTTATTTAGAAGTCTCAACATTTTCAAAATAAATGAATTCAAATCCATTCTTCACTAAACTACTAACCTTCTACTGTGAGTTAAAAAGTGACTGACAAGAATTTTTCTTTGAAAAATTTGTAATGATATTAGGCTGCCAGTTTGTTATAAGAGTCATCAGTTTGTAGTGGTGTGATCTCATTTGTTGAACTGGAATATTTTCTTGTGTAATATATTTCTGTGATGGATTGCAATGGAAATATAATAGTTACTGTAATGTTCTGCGCAAGAAGCTATCGATGCTTGCTAGGCGGCGATTAAGGCCTTGCTAGAATTTTAGGATGGTTCTTGATTGTCCCTCCGGTGATGGTAGCCTCCTATTCCCTTTTGCTGTGTAGCTGCTGATTAAGATTCACCGGATGTCTGGAGGGGACCTAACTCTTGTGTCTCTATGGGTTATCTCCCTTCTGTTGCTGGGATATTACAGTTACCACATTATGTTTTTTTTTTATTTGTTAATAGGAGATAGTATATTGTATATGATATGACACAAATTCACTGGGAACTAAGAAGTCACCTCAGAGGGGAAAATGAGACTTATCTTATCACTATGGTATCCTGACAATAGATAAAGGATTAATATACTAATGATACCTTAGAAGTGGCACAAGGCCACAATTATGGAACCCCCAGTGATATTGTAATGCAGTTACTTTTTGTTTCAGGTATGTTTTCAAATAATATCATGGTCACATAAGGTCAAAACTAGTAACAATCTTAAAATAAATGAATACATATATAATACAAGGATAATAGCCTCATCCACATGTAAAAAAAAAGGCTAAAAATAACTGAAGTATTAATGATAAAAAAGAAAAAGCCAACATTCAATAACATTACCTATGTACATGGCCACAGTGTGTTGTGTTTGGAAAAAAACAAAAAACATTCTATATCTCTAGATACATACATTAAAATGATCAATACATTCAGTTGAAAATAAAAATAAAAATCATCCTTGATAATGGCTAAAAGAATAGCTGAAATTACTCGAGCATACAGAACAGTTGAACAATTTTTTTTATATACTTCATATCCAGAAAAGAAAAAAACTTATACAAACACAATGAAAAATGAATAAAAACTTAATCACAGTACCTTATGAGTTGTCATTATATACACACACACACACACACACAACTAAGTGTAACATAGTTTAGAAAAAGAGAGAAAAATCCATTCTTCATTAAGCTACTAACCTTTTACTGTAAGAAAGTGACTGACAAAATTTGTAATGATTTTAGGCTACCAGTTATGAGAGTCATCAGTTTGTAGCTGTGTTGTCTCATTTGTTGAACTGGGAAATTTTCATGTGTTATAAGGAGATTTATATATTTATGTGATACATTTATTAGATATGTTATTGTGGTTGCATGAGTTTGTCTTTTTTTTTTTTAAAAGGAAGGTAATGTAGTATGTTGTATGCAATACATGGTGCCCCCCCACCCCCAATCCAGAAGGAAAATGAGACATATCTTGTCTTTAGGGCATATTGTGGTTGAAGAGAGAAATAGTTTGTACCCTTTCTTTGTATACTGCTTTATACAATGTCACCTAGTGAGCATTATAAAAATTCCTCTGGCAGATAAGATTGGATAATCCCACAGGTATTTTCAATTTTTATAATAACTGACAATCAAATCCTGATTTAAGAATATGGATTTGTAAAAAAAAAAAAAAAAAAATTTGATTAATTCTTTTATATATAAAATTTGAAATAACATTTTCCTTTTTAGGTTGACCAAAATGTCAGCAGACATTTGGATTGGGAACTACGACAACCTGACTGGGATGTGATGATATTGCATTACTTGGGCTTGGATCACATTGGGCATTTAGCAAAACCTTCCAGTCCATTAGTGGAACCAAAATTGAAGGAAATGGATGACATTATTAAAAAGCTTCATGAACATCTTATTTTAAAGGTAAATATTACCATTGCAGTTCTAAATTGCACATTGTTTGAAACAAATTTATTTTTAATTTCCGTCTGATTTATTTGAGATGAAATCTTCAGCTAGTGTTTTGCTTACTAGGTATGCTGCAAGATGGCCGTAGGATTCAAGATGGCTGCTATTTATTGTCTGCTTATTAAATATCTTTTTCTTTTTTTTAACAAAACAAATTTCCTAAACAACAATGAAAAATCCTCAAAAAGAAATTACAACAAAGGTAGAAGGGCAGATGATTGTTGAGTTTCAGAGCTATAAAAAAGAGAAGGGGAGAGATTTTTTTTTTTTCTTTTTGAGTTTGTAGAAGGTAGGTCAGCTTCTATTTTAGTATTCATAATTAAAAAATATATATGGTCAGGAACTACTAGAAAGCATATGTCTCATTCATGGAAGAAGGGTACACCAATCTAACTTTGAACCACTCCAAAGAGTTCATAAATAGGACTTATACACAATGCATAGAATCCACTCAGTTAGTGTTAAAAAGGTCCTTGCCAAAACAGGGAACTTGAAAATAATTTTATAAAAGCTATTTCATAAAATTTTTTTTTTTGGTAGAATATACTGGGTGCAATGGGTAAATTGTCGCCATTTTATAGTTTTCATTTTGCGCATGTCTTTTGTTTGTTTTTGATTTTGTTGACTACACAGTATAGTAGCATTAGTTGGGCACCATTTGTGAGAAAACGAGCACCATGACACAATTCACTCCACCAGAAATTTGGAAACAGCCTGCTCTACTGCTTGGCATTCACACTGGAAGCTCCAATACAAACATTTCAGTGTTTGGGTGTCAATCTGAGGATAGTGTTGGATTCAGAAAGAGTTGGATGAGTCTAATGGTGATTATGAAGGTATGGCAGCTCAGAAAACTCACTCTGATCATTCGGAAAAGAATTCCAAATTTGTTGCTTTGAGCCTCACACTCAACATGGAGGCTTACATAGTGCCTTGGGGAAGTAGTGCTGCCCTGGGTTAAGAGGATAACTGCTAGAAGACCCCATGTCTGGAAACAGGACTCTGCACCATGCCATACATGCAGGAGAACCCAGTCATTGGCTGTCAAAAAATTTCTGCAACCACATCACCCCTTACATCTAATCATCTTACACCCCAGGCTGCAACCCCCTTGATTATTATGTGTGAGGCTCAGTTGAGCAAGAGACCAACAAAACTCCTTGTAATACCAAAGATGAACTGAAGGCAAGTATTATGGCAGCATCCACTAACTTAAACACGGAAACCATCTAGTAGAGTTGCAAGAGATTCTGAAGTCATCTGGAGGCCATGGTTGAAGCCAATGGCGATTTTATTGAATACATTTACTGTTTGGTATTTGATGATATTTTTGTATGATGTCAGTGTTATTTTCATTTTTGTATAATTTAGATGACAATTTATCCATCATTTTCCCCAAAAAGTCCCTCCAATGTAAAGATGATAAATTTAAAAAATTATTGAAATATTAAAAACTGCACAATCAAAATAAAAGGAGGAGGAAGAAACAAAAAGAACAAGTTCAGTGATTAAAATTGAGAGATAAGTAATTTCTCGTTAAAAAAAAAAAAAATAAATCGCCTTAAAATTTCAAGATTTTTATTATTTTATTCAAGCATTTTATTGAATTTGTCATTGTTAATTAAGAAATACAATTGTTTCATAAAAAAACATGTATTTAATAAGCAGATGATAAATAGCCACCATTTTGAAACCTACTACTTTTCTGCTGCCATCTTGTCGGGTGCCCAATGAACAGGACACTAATCAAATCATTAAATGTATTTGTTTTTTTCTGATAATTTTTCTAGATTTGCTTGACAATTGATCTAAACCAAGGGTCAGCAACCTACGGGCCGGATCCGGCCCGCGAAGGCATTTTGACCAGTCCGCGAGCCTGATTACCAATGACTCTATTTTTAACATGAGAGACGAGGCTTTCGAATTAAACTCTCTGCGAGTTATCTTTCATGAGACTTATTTTACCAAGTTGCGTTGCCTACGTTTAATGTCAAATAATGGATACATATTTGTTATGACCCTTGGCTACATTAAAAGATAACAGAAGTGAAAGGAACGATAAAGTGAAAGAGGCCAGGGAGGGACTGACATGCGAGGTAGCAGAAATCTAAAGACAGTTAAACATACGCGCATTATACATACATGCCTCATGAATGTGTGGATGATACCGCATGTGTACGTACGTAAGTGTATATGTTTGCAACTATTTGTACTCATATGTATGGGTATATGTGCTTCGTTTTTGTTTGATGTATGTGTGTGGTTTCTTTGTAGAACAATTTTCAATAACAGTTTCAAACCTACACGTCATAATTTCATCCATTTCACTTTTGTTGATTTTTTTCACTTTGAAATATTTTGACGTTCCTTGAGGAAAAGTAATTTTTGTTAGGTGTTTTTTAATTTTAGATTTTCTTTTGTTTTTCTGATTTCTCAATGTTTATTTTCATTATGGTTTTAAATATTTAGGTTGACAGGGGTCTGCATATGTAATTTTCCTTAATTTTTCATTAATGGCCTTCATCCAGCCCGCGACCCGTCATTATAACACAATCTGGCCCGCCGGGTCGAATGAGTTGCCGACCCCTGATCTAAACAATATTAAAACTTTTGATAATGCTATATAACTTTAAATGAAAACCTAAATTAAGAAATAGTCTTGAACTGAATGAAAATGTACATATATTGGCCACTGTCAAGGTTGACAATGTGTTATATAACAAATAATAGAGTTAATATTACCTAGGCAGGATTAAGAGAAGGTAGTTTGCCTTAGTCTTACTCATCCACTTTTTTTCTACCATATACAAGGAAAAAAAAAAGATATTTCTGTCAAGATATCTAACAATGGAATAAAACACAAAATAAGCTGACTTAAGTCTTTCTGGGGGAATTAGAGCTAACTGAATATAAGCAAGCTGTCAAAAATGAAATCATTTTCTGTTCTTTAACAACAAGTGAAAGTTATGAGGAACTTGACCAGCAGTCTATTTGCTCAATTTGAGATTATTGATCTGAACAGACATTCTTCCTAGTTATATTTGTCTCCTTCTCTCCTCTGTTCACATAACTAAAAACCCCAGCAATTCATAACAAAGCAACTAAAAAATTATAAAACACAACAGTATATATCTTTGATACATCAAAGAAACATGATTAAAAAGGGAACAAGAAAATAAATTGACATAACCATGGGAGTGCTTTGATGGAATGTGCCTGCAAACTATTCAGAATAAATATTCTATATGTTGCTGTTAAACAAAAATGACATCAGATTCTTAACAGATGATGTGTTCATAATCCTAATAAATTACAACACACAAAAAAAAATGTATAAAACTAGAAAATAAATTTTTACAATTTTCAAAGAAATAGGATTTTAAATTGGCATTAACAAAAACAAAAAATGCATAAACTTCTTAGCTGTAACTTTAAATCTGCACAATGGTATATATCAACTGTACAGAAAACCCCCAAAACAACCCAGGTGGACATTGTGTACTTGAACTCAGTTGAAGCAGGGTGAGCAATGACTGAACAGTACTAAATAAAAACTAGACAAGATATCACTAGACATGATCAGAAGAATGAGAACAATTTACCCCTGTAGGTTAAATAAAGTGTTCAATTCAAAATTTCTTGTAGGTTACCCCAATTGACAAGCTGAAATATTGCGATAATAAAAACAAAGACAAGGACAATAATGTAAATAATGATAACTCTTCATCCCAGAAATTCTGACAGTTGCTTAAATTGTTTATTTGAGCAGTTTTTCAGTTTTTAATTTAAGTTAACTTTTACAAGTTTGGTAGGTTTCCAGTTATTAATGCCTGATAAAGCAATTAAATTTAAGAAAGGATTAACCCCTTAAATACAAGAAGAAAATTAGATATATAGATATAGAGTATAAAGTAGATATATACCAACTCTAAAAATATCTATCATGATTTTAATTTTACCATTAAAATAATGTTTTTACAATAAAATTAATGATAGTAGGTGATAGCATATAAATCTCTTGTTTCTTATTTAGGATTAAGTTTCCAGTTCCTTCTGAAGTCTTCTCATTCTCTTTCACTATCAGTAGCCCCTCACATCTTAATGGCACTATTGCCTTGCTTGGGGTGAATTGATTTATAAAAAAGAAGACAACATGTGGTGTAAGCTAGTCAGATGCTCAGCTGTGCAGTAACCCTGTGACCACACCCAATCATGGGATGATGATGATCCAGCACACGTCTAGAATTAGATGACAGCTTAAAAATGTATGATTGATTGATCTGCTTTTTTACAGTTTATCAACATTTTGAAGGTTATTTAAAACCAGAGAATATTTTTAGATTATTAGGATATTTTGGAGATAATGAGCTTTACTAATACAAGCCTTACTAATTAAATCATAGCTGGGGGGGAGAAGAGATGAATTCATACCTTTCCAAAGGATATTTGTGCATAAGTGAATATAAGAAACCTGACTGGAATTAGAACTTTGCTCTCCAATTTCAAATTCTGAACCATTATCCATACCAACTACACATTCAAGCTTACAGCACCTGGTATTCTCAAGTGGTCACCTATCTAGGTATTGATCAAGATCAACATTGCTTAACTTCAATGATCATACAAGAACTGGTGTTTAAACATGATATAGCTGTAATCTCCTTAAAATGTATGACTCGAGTACAGTGGCCTCGATGAATGGGAATGAGTTTGAACACTTCATTACTGAGGAGTAGCTCAGAAGATATTTCACAAGAAATTTCTGCATTCTTTGAAGCTTTTGGCAAAAATATCTGGGATATTTGTTGTAAGTTTTCTTTGGTAGTGAATTGGACTGTAATTCAAAATGATTTGTAGACAGTAATGAAAGTAGTGAAACTAATGTTTGTTTCTGATCAGCTGACAAGATATTTCAACAGGTATCAAAATGTCACAAGTCCTGTAACCCAATAGGGTCATAGGAGTACCACATGTACTGCAGCCATAACAGCAATGCTGAGTTTAGGGCAAGATGGAGCCCATCCCTCTTCAGATTGCTTTTGCATTCAGTTATCTTTGTCTTAGACTGGTTGCCAACCAAGGCTAGAGATCGTGCTGCCTTGTTATTGACCCAAAAATGGGGGTGGGGAATGAATTTATACAATTCCGAAAGGGTATTAGTATGAAACTAAAGACATTGTCTTTGGTTGAAATTTGGTACAAATATTCTAGCTTTTTCATTGATAACTACTGTGCTACACACACATCTTTTCATCAGTGTAACATCATATATTTATATTATATCATATATTTATATTTACAGTATCAAGTGGTTAAAATGTCAAGTTTAAGATCTAGTATGCATAAACATTTTACAGGAAAATGGATTCTTTGAAATTGAATTGAGAAAATAAAAAATTTTGAATTGATGTCCATTTTTCATTATTAGGGTGACAATAGTCCAACATTGATGGTTGTTTGTGGTGACCATGGTATGAGTGACCAGGGAAGTCATGGAGGAGCATCCAAAAAAGAAGTAACTGTTGCAATTGTTTGGCTTGCATCTACAGCTAAAAACAAGAAAGGTTTGTAGTTGGTCTGTTTTTTATACAATGCATCTAACAAAATAGTATCTGTGCTGATGACACAACTATTTACTCCTGTCTCAATGGTAAGTCTGATTGGTTTGATAAGATCAAATTGGCAGCTGTCCTCAAAAATGACCTTCAATCTGTTGTTAACTGGAACAAGAAATGACTTGTTAATTTTAACACCTCAAAAACAAAAATGCACTCTTTAAATCATCTTAGAGAACCTCTCAGGAGTGTGACTCATTGCACCTTCTCTGGCTAACATTTTCTGCCGACATGGAATGGAAAGATTATATTGAATTATTTTCTAGGTTTGATACTAGGAAATTTGGTTCACTGTCATGTTTGATACTAGGAAATTTGGTTCTCTGTCATGCTAGACAATTTTTCTTGCTAGAATCTATCTTAGACATTAATAAGATTACCATATGTCCATGGATTGCATATTGCTGTATGTGACAGCAATATGCAATCCATTGACAAATGGTAATCTGCTCTGGTGCTTTTGCTATGTATTTAGAGATTCTTGTTAAAATCCAAAGAAGAATCTACAATAATATCAATCGTGACCTGGAATCTCGGCTTCAGTTACTTTCCCACTGCCGTAAGGTAGCTTTGCTCTGCCTTTTCTACAAATAGTTTTGTTGTGTACAGTTCTCACAAGTAAGCAGTGTAGTCAAGAAAAGATAAGATAGAACTCTTCCCACTTATATACAATCTAATTTGCATATCACCACATCTTGAATCTTAGAAGCTTTATGCCTTTGGTAGATCTGCTACTTCTATGAACCACTCCAGGAGGTGTACTGCTTGTCTCATGGTGATTGCCTAGATTCCTCTTTATGGGGTTTCTCGGTCTTACCAGATTTTCTTCACTTGAATCATCCTCACATTCCTCATTCTCACTAGACGCACTCATTCTCACTTTCTCTTCATTCTCCAATTCTATGGTCTCATATGTTTACAAAATATTGGTGTGGAATGGTAGTATCTATGTTCGTCCATTGCTATCATTTGACAAAGATATCAAATCACAAATGTGAAGAGTTCAATTCAAAAAGGCATGATTAAGAGCAATATAACAATGACAGTAACAATTATTATTTGATTGCTGAAGATGATTTTCTGGAACAGATTTATCATGATATTTTTATTTTAATAAAATTTGCACAACACAAAACTAGAAAACCAGTTAAATTAGAGAATTACTAAATGAAGTGTGTGATATGACTAGGAGGAAGTAGTAGGAATTGAAGATTATGAGGATAAGGAGGATATATAACAAATGACCCTTAGCTTGAAAAGGTTAAGATTTTATTGTTCAGGGAAGCATCCCCACATGAGTTTGTTCAACAAGGTAGCCATTCTTGGTAAAAATCTGTTATGAGGGAATTTCCTCCTTACAAAGGTTATACAGGGGAAATGTGGGTGATTCAACTTTGTGAAGTGGCATAGTGTGTTCTGGCTGTAAAGGTATAAAATTAATAATGAAAATGATAATGTAGTTTAAGTTGAAGTACAAGGCAATGAGGAGCGATTTGGTAATTTTGCTGTTGGATTTTTGTAGGAAAACAATTTCAAAGAATAAACTTTGAAACTAGTGAATATATTTCTGTCAAGATATTGAGTTGGGAAAATTATTAGCAAATATAAACACTTTTAATATTAAATCCTTTTTGAATCTGTTGGCATTAATAGTCTATAGGTAAAAACCTATAAACCCATAATTAATACCAGATTTCTTTTAGTTGGATTGTTTCAGTCAGTAAAATTATTGATTTGTTAATTATGCCTATTGGTTGCTGATCTGGTGGCTGTCACAACCAGTTCTCCAGCTGCACTTAATATGACATCCAATCAGAACTCCAAAATGCCATATACTGACCTAAAACATAAAATCAAGAAAATAATGATGCAAAAATGGCAACAACTATGGGACAAAAATACCCACAACAAGCTCTACCAAATAGAACCAACTTTAAAAGAAAGGAAACTGAAACTTAATACTACAAGAAGAGAAGAAACCACTCTTACTCGGCTACGCATTGGACACACTAGACTGACTCACTCCTTCATACTAGAAAGGGAGCCTCCTCCTAAATGTCCCTGTGAAAATCAATACACAGTAAAACATATACTGATAGAATGCACAAACCTTACACACATTCAAAGAAAGTTCTACAATATTAAAAGTACAAAGGAACTATTTAGAAAAATTGATCCAGGTCATATAATAAACTTCCCAAAAAGAATTGGTGTTTTATCACGAATGTAGTCTGATGTGTAATTAATATATGCTACCTTTTAACATTGTGTAAATAAAATTGTCTATACTAAATGGAAATCCTTGTCCTAGACAGTAATACCTGGAATTATTTTGCAGTGTGCAAGCAAATAAGCTCTAGCTTATATAGCTTATAGGCATTTACAAGTTGTATATATTTAATATATATATATATATATATATATATATATATATATATATATATATATATATAAACTAAATTTGGCATTAAATGACCTTCAGTGGTTGATATGCCATAAAACCCAAGCAACCAAACCAACCAGTTCTCCAGGTACTGTTCTGTCTTTCAGTATCATCTGGTCTCTATGATGATCAAAAACAGGGTTCTTGGTCACCAAATCTATCCTGGAAGAGGCACAAAAGAGCTGCTTGCAATCCTGCCACAAACATGCCTGCAAATCTACATTCAGACTCTGCAAGGTATACATCCATGTGTTACAAACTGTTCATAAACCATGAATGAGTTTGTCACAAAATCAATGTGTAGAGCAAGTTTTTATCTGCCTGACTTTGAACATTGACCTTACTCAGCTGTTAGACAAAATGCCTTGCCGGTTAAGCATAACAGGAAAACTCGTTTGACTTTCTGAAGAAAGTCAAACGAGTTTTCCTGTTATGCTTGAGAAAACACCGCCACACCCCACACAGACTGCATATAAGTTCCACATTTTTAATCCATTTGATTGTTGATTTGTCAGTTGCCAAACAATCAAATTTTAGTGTCAGTCAAACTATCTGCCATTCTTTTCAGAGGCCTGAATAGATTGTAATAAATTTTTTTAAAAACAATTTGAGGGAGGGCACTGACAGCAGTTCTCACAGGTACAAGTTTATCTACAACTACAAGACTTTATTTACCTTTACTGTCAAACTTGATTTACTTTCATGTTTGATGTAATTGCTACTCATAAATCCTACTCATGATTATATAGTCTTAGAATTTTAGGAGGAGCTTTTGAGAAATTCACTGTATAAAAGTATACTGTTTCTGTCCCAAAATAGTTATCACATTTAGTATATGAAATGTGTACACAAATGTAACAAACATTTTAAGACAGCAGTAGCAGTTCCTCTATTACATGCTAATTTCCATCTGTGTATTATACTTTCAGTTTTCAGTCAGGCGTATCCATCACAATCACCTGTAATTGATCAGATTGATATCACACCTACACTGGCATTGGCTTTTGGAATACCAATTCCTGGAAATAATCTTGGCACTGCAATTCCAGAGATATTTTTATCATATGGCTCAACAAAGGATACAGTCCGAGCAATGTACCTTAATGCACACCAAGTTGCTTCTGTTCTCAAACAAAATAATCCCAAATGGCAAGCTGGTTAGTTTTTATTAATTTTCTTATTTTTAATTAATTTGGTTTCCCATGCACCGTTTACAATTTTTCTTTCATTGTTATAGAATACATTTAAAATGAGAGAACTTTAATAAAAGTTTTCATAATTCTCTGCAAGCTGTGATAATCTGATTTCCAGAATGATCGTAGCATGTCACTTGGTGAATAAGTCAGGCAAGCACTGAGCATGTCCTGACATGTTTCCATTTCCATTTTCTTGGAACTTAGACCAGATGAGTCATTTGTTGCTGAGCAGTAGAGGAAGTTGTATGTGTTCGTGTTATACTTTTGTTGCAAAATGAGTGAAAGGAATCTGGAGCAATGGATCTGTACAAAAATAAAATAAAAGCACGAGGGCAAGGAGAAAGGCAACTACTGTGAGAATGGTTTCGTGACTATTTGGAAATGCTGCTTTGTGACAGTTTTCTTTATTTTACACTATAGGATCAACATCAAGTTTTATGTGAAGATTGGTAAAAGTGTGAGTGAAATCATATGATTTCTTCATAGTATATTCACTTCTGGTGAATATACTATGAAGAAATCAAGTGTCATTGAATGTCTCATGTGATTCAAGAAAGGACAATAAGAGTGACATGATGATGCATGAAACTGTAGCCAAAAGCACAGAACACATGCAAATGTGGATAGTATATGAACAATGATGCATTCAGATCAAAGATTAAGTGTGCAACTGATGGCAAAAGATCTGAATATAAATAGGAGAAACCATGCAGCAAACTCAAACAGAGTATTTAGGAATGAGTAAAATGATTTCAGGAGTTTAATTTCCTGGCTAAGAAATGGGCCATCCACTCCATTCATTTGACTTAGAACAACCCCCACTCCCGTCTATGAGTTTAAGCTATTTGTAAAATTGAAAAATGGGCAAAGATTTGCTGACATCCAGTAACACATGACTACAGTGCTGAATGGTTATCTTGAAAAGTTCCAAGACTGTTTCCAGTAATGGCAAATAAAATGCATAGCTTCATAAGTTGACATCAACTTGAAGTTGATGCCAATTTGTGAAGTTCACATCAATCAACAGTGACCAGTAAGCAAACTTTGTTTTCAAAAGGTCGTTCAGAGAATTAAATTATCACACCTTGTATTTACAAGTTATCAGAGGAAAGAAAAATTCACATTTATATTGAGACAGTATTTTTTTATTTTATTTTTTTAAAAAAAAAGAAACTAAATAATGTTTGCCTGTATTTACATATTAGTATCATTTAAAATAGATATTTAATTTTTTTGCTTTTTGAGTGTTACTGAGCATGCTGTGTTTTACCATAACACATTTTCTTATTGATTAGTAAGGAACCCAAATTGCTTAATATTGCCTGATGCCTGAGTCTATTGTTATGGACAGAAGAATAAAGAAGTCAAACTGTTCATTAGATACATAGAAATATTTATTTCTGTCAAATTCTCAGTTTGAATTCATTTTTACAAAAAAAAAACAGTATTTGAAATTTTGAAAAAGAAATCTAACTGAACATTTGAAGATTTACTCTATATAATAGCACATCAAACTTTCTCCTCCTTTGTTTTTTCTTTTTCTTTCAAAAAAATGGTTAAAATAATATCACCTAGGTCTTATATTAAAAAATTGAAGTATCTAATAAACTAATGTTTCCTCGTTGACTACCAGTATTCTATAATACTGTAGTATTAATGCAAATGGCCATGTTGTTAAAATGTTAATGTTCCTATCCTGTTCAAGGGTGTGACAATGATATTGGCCTGGGGAGACATTTCTAGCATCTAGTGATATTGGGAAGTGCCTGAAAACAATACTGTGGTTTGACACAAGCCTTTTGATTGAACTTGAGTAGATGAAACTGTTTAGAAGCCATTAGTGGTTGTACTAGCATAAAGTTACAAGGCATCATGACTGAGCGGTTGAGTATACTGGTTTTGTTCAACTACTGATCATGTCAGATTATGCATTCTCTCCCAGAAACTGTAACTAAAGTTTTCTCAAAATAGTTGCAGTATTAACCACAGGTGAGTTGGAAAATGGATTCTGCACAACCTACCTCCAGAGAATTGCAAACAATGTGTTCATTGTTGCAAGTCATTGATTAGACAACAATTTCAAGGGACTTTTTTGGACAAGCCTATTACTAGTAATGAGAAATGGATCCTTTACCATAATGTTAAGTATTGTTGTTAGTGGATCAGTCAAGGAAACAGACCTAATCAGCCACTAAGAGAACTCTCCAAAGATGATCTTGTTTCAGTGTATGGTAGGATATTCAAGGAATCATCCATTATTAACTGTTAAACAATAATCAAACAATGTTGATCTCTACTGCCAACAGATTCATTATTTGAAATCAGCTTTGGACAGAAAACATCCAACCTTAGTCAACAGAAAGGGTGTAATCCTCCATTACAATAATAGCTGTCCTCATATTGCATAATTGACTAAAGATCCCTTAGAGGAGCTTGGCTGGGGAAAAAGTGCTTCATCCTCCATATTTTTCTGACCTTGTTTCTTCTGGTTATCACCTGTTTAGGGGTTTGCAGAATCATTTGGATGGCTTAAGGTTGGCATCAAGAAAAGAGGTTGAACATGAGTTGGTCTTGTATTTTACATCAAGAATTTTACAAGTGTGGCATCTAGAAATTTGTTGAGAGATGGAATGGGGAAGCAATGGAGATTATATTGCCGATTAAATATTTCTATAAGCATTAGTATCTTCATTTGTAATATACACAATAAAATCAGACAGAAATTTAATTCCAAACTGATAGATTATTATGGTTTAAATATATGCACACAAAAAATCCACAAAATATTTGTTTGCCAATAAAAAGCATTCGCATCCAAAAAAACATCTGTCTATAAAAGCAGCCACAGAATAAAATAAAAGATTAAACTTAATGTGAAAAACTTGCCAATTTGGCATGAAATGACACATAAGGTTGATATGTTGGTAAACAATACCTTGCCTTAAGCATTATGTTTTATAAAAAATAAAATGCAGTCACTCTAGTGTGATTTACTAATTAAAACATCGATTACAAAAGACTTATTTTTTGGTTGAGGACATAGTTAAAAATATCTACTTGATTGCAATATTTTGTAATTAGAGATTCCAGAAAATGATTCACCTTTTCTTTTTTTTTTTTTTTTTGCATATTGTAAATTTTATCTTGATTCATAGCTTGTTCTTTTCCCTGTTCAGATGCTGGTTATGTTTTGTTTGAAATGGCTGTACAACATCACATAGACTGGCTAAATTTCAGTGGTATAAGCAACCGAGCTTGGCACCAACAAGGACTGTCACTTGTCAAACAATATCATAGTGCAATAAAAGCCATGAGTTCAAGGATGATGACAAAAATGACCAAATATGACATTTATGGAATGTTTTTGTGTAGTATTAGCCTCTTTTTGGTGAGTGTTTGATCTTTTCTTTCAACAATGTTATATCTAGCTTTGATCTATTTTAACTTTTATCATTCTGTATGTGATTTCATTTTATCCTACCACTGAATTTAAATTTCATAGTTGTCATATCCTGCTATGGTAACAGAAAGACCTTTAAGTGAAATCAACAATATTACTGCAATTGAGAAAGACTGCAGTGGAAAAGAAAGTGATATTAATTATGCAGTGAGCTAAAGGTTTTAATTGTTTATAAATTCGCATATGGATAAATTTTTTCAGTAGGACAAAACATTGTTAATACATAATCAGCTTTTTATTGAATTAATGCATTTTATTTTTTAATCTGACATATTTTTATTATCTCAGGCATTATTTCTAGTGGATACCTGTATTTGAGTAGATGCTCCATTTATTTTAAACAGTATTTTATTTCATTTATATAGCGAAGAAAACGATGAATTACCTCATCAAACCAAGCGACAGCATGTCACGTGTATCCTACGATGGAAAATGTGGCGAAAAAGAAAATTACTTACCAAAAAAAAGGGCACATATTCCGCATGACATGCTGAAGACGGAATATTTAAATTAGAAACAAGTCGGTCTCAGGAGTCACCATAAAAGTATTTTGATATGCTAAAATTGGGCAGCCTCTCCCAGTTTTGACGTATGGAAAAAATGCTCAGCCAATAAAAGCAGTTGGTGTTCTCGAATCGAGTGGGAGGAATAAAATTTGTGTATTTTGGCTACCATGTTCATCAGAGAGTGAGTTAACTTTCTGACTGGTTACATGCATTGTGATTTGTGAGATAGTACCGGCGAATTGAGTTTTCGGCATTTCTTTCTGCCTCTGATATTCAAGTCTGAACTTACAGTGATTTGTTCTCTGCATTGTGGAATTAATCTGCGACAAACATTTCCTTTGCTTTCAGAATGCTTACAAGCTATTTCGGCACTATGACGGACAGGACATTTGATGTCAAGTTGATACCTGAGTTTGATGGTTCAGTAACCTGACAAGCAGTTACTGAATGGATTGAGAAGGCAGAACTTGTTTGTGACCTGTGTGGAATTAGCAAGGTTGAATGTGTTCTTCCTCTGAGGTTGATGGGCTGTTTACCAACAGTTAAACTCAGCAAAAATCAGATGTCGAGCAGATAAAACGAGCCCTGTGGATTGCCTTTGCAATGGATTGTTTCTTGGCTTACAAGCAGTTCGTGGAATGCCAACTGTGCCAATGCTGACGTGTGCACACAGAAACTGAGGGAGTGGGGTAAAAAAAGGACTGGATATCGCTATCCGTGACCTACGGCAGGCCTATCTACAAGTACATATCCATAAGCTGCAGACCTGGTTTGATAATGGTTGGTTGCAGCCTTAACCTGAAAAGGAATTTGGTCCTCCAAAAGGTTTAATTCCATTGATGGTGGTGGTGCAGAAAAACAAAAATAAAATGCGGCCAGTATTAGACTATCAAGAGCTGAATGAGTGTCTCGATGCACACTCAGCCAATGCTGATGTGTGCACACAGAAACTGAGGGAGTGGCGTAAAAACGGACTGTATGTCTCTATCCTTGAACTACGGCAGGCCTATCTACAAGTACATATTCATAAGTCACTTTGGCCCTTTCAAACTGTAATCTTCAAGGGGCAAAGATATTGCTTGACCTGAATGGGTTTCGGGTTGAATGTTGCACAAGCCATAATGAAGGCTATTGTGGACACCGCATTATTGAAAGACGAGTCAGTTCGATTGGCAACCTTATCATATATTGATGATATTTATGTTAATGAGAGCATGATTTCAGCAGCTCATGGGAAGGAGCACTTGGCTGGACCTGCAAAGATCCGGAGCGGTTACGGGATGGCATACGTGTTGGGTTTGCATGTTGAGCAAGATAACAACACACTTAACTGGAAATGTGAACATGGCATTCTATCAGTTCCTGACATGACGTAATGTCTTCTCATGGTGTGGAAAACTGGTGAGTCACATTCCTGTATGTGGGTGGCTTCGTGTTGCTGCATCATTTGTTAAACACAGAACAGTATCAATCATGTCTGTTTGGGACAATGAAGTGACAGATACTCCCATTAAGAACATGATTGAGGACATAGCGGAAAGAATACAGCAGAATGACCCTGCATATGGTAAGTGGTACACAAGCGAACACACATGAGGTATGGGTTGATGCAAGTTCTCTCGCCACAGGGGTTTTGTTGGAGGTGACGGAAGCCTTGTAGAAGACGCATGTTGGCTGCAGCCTGCGAAGGACACAACATATCAAGTTATTAGAATTGGATGCCATTCTGAAGGGCGTCAATTTAGCACTACAGTGAGGCACAACTTAGCTACACCTCTTCATAAACTCTGCATGGGTATGAAACATGCTCACTGGCAAAGCCAGAATACAAACTAAGGTGGCAAGTGAGATGCTGATCTGGAGGCGTTTGAGCACTCTTGAAAAGCTGATTCAAGAGTATAACTTATTGATCACGATAAGTTTAGTAAAGTCGAGTGAGAATCAAGCGGATAAGCTCTCAAGAGTACCACAACAATGGTATGATGTGATCAAGAAGGAAATCGAACCAACACACCCAATATGCACTTCCATGGTGAATGAAACCTCGCCTGATCAGATACGCGCCATACATTGCCAGAGTGGACATCCTGGCATCAGGCAAACGCTGTATTTTGTGAGATGAGTTTACCCTATGACATCCAAGGCAGCTGTCAAGGCAGTGGTAAAGTGTAAAGAATGCCAGTCAATTGACCCAGCCTTGAATCGTTGGCCACATGGCAACCTAAGTGTGATTGGAATCTGGACCTTCTTAGGAATGAATATTACGCATTACAGTGGGCAACACTACCTTACATTAATTGATTGCGGCCCCAGTCGATTTGCGATATGGCAACGCCTGCTTCAACTAGACTCAAGAAGCGTCATCCGACAGTTGGAAAGTATTTTTTTTGAACGAGGCCCATCATCAAAAATTCTAACCAACAATGACACTGCATTTCACAGTAAGTCCTTTAAAGTTTTCTTGGATGACTGGGGAGTCCAACTTCGTTTTCGTTGCGCCTATGTTCCTGCAGGAAACAGTATAGTGGAAAGATCTCATCAGAGCATAAAGAGAATTGCAGCAAGAAAGCAATGTTCGATAATGGAGGCAGTATACTGGCATAATATCACACTGAAGGATGATATATCGTCAACTAATGTGCCTGCCAATATGATTCACCGTTACCAACTGAAAGTAAAGGGAATTACTACAACATTACCACCTGATTGTTGTAAGAATCACGGTATATACTAAGTTGGGAACAGAGTATGGGTGAAAGCTCCCCATGGCCAGTGTACCTCCAAGTATCAAGTGGGTCACATGATGGACATTGTAAGTCCACAAACAATAATAGTTGACGGGATGCCATGGCATGTAAAAGATCTTTGCCTTTACGTTGATTCTGATACATCGACGAGTGAATCCGATGATGGTTCATTGTCTGAAAATGGTTGGATAATTGAGATCTGTGAATCTGATGCTTCCACAGATGCAGAGATTCCGGAAACTCGAGATACGTCTGATGACTCTTCAGGAGACGACTCTCCGACACGCATAAGGGAGATATTTCCATTACGATGAAGCACCAGGATAAAGAGAGCTGCTCCAAGCTGTTTGATTTGTGATAATGAGATCAGGGGGGAGTATAGCAATGAAAATGGTGACTTACCTCATCAAACCAAGCAACAGCATGTCGTGTGTATCCTACGATGGAAAATGTGGCAAAAAAGAAAATTACTTACCAAAAAAAAAGGGCACGTATTCTGCATGACATGCTGAAGATGGAATATTTAAATTAGAAACAAGTCAGTCTCAGGAGTCACCATAAAAGTATTTTGATATGCTAAAATTGGGCTCTCCCAGTTGTCGACGAATGGAAAAAATGCTTGGTAAAATGCTTGATAAAAGTAGTTGGTGTTCTCGAATCGAGTGGGAGGAATAAAATTTGTGTATTTTGGCTACCACGTTCATCAGAGAGTGAGTTATTTTTCTGACTGGTTACGTGCATTGTGATTTGTGAGATAGTACCTGCGAATCTAGATTTCAGCATTTCTTTCTGCTTCTGATATTCAAGTCTGAACTTACAGTGATTTGTTCTCTGCGTTGTGGAAGTAATCTGCAATAAATATTTTCTTTGCAATCTCAGAACGCTTACAATTTACCAACATACAGATTCGAGAAAACTTATTAAAGAAAATGCACCCTCTGGCAGGATTTGAACCTGTGTCCCTCTTTGCAGGAGAAACTGCCATTTGATCCAATATGACTGCTCAGCTACAAAGAGCTTCAGAATAACACAAAGTTCTATTTGCCTTTAGAGCACATTTACTGATTCAGATTTTCTCAAATCATAACTGCTCTGCTAAGGGGGATGAAGGTTTGAATCCTGCCAGAGGGCATATTTACTTTGATAAGTTTATTTGGATGTGTAGGCTGGTAGACAAAGTAAAATACTCTTTAAAATAAATGGAGCATCTACTGAAATACATGTGTCTACTAAAAATAACATTTCAAATAATAGAAATCAGACCTTTTTATATATATATATATATATATATATATATATATATATTGTTTATATGTTATTTTTATGGATATAAATATTTAAGTAAATGCTCTGTTTATAATAAACACTATTAACATTTATGGGCCTGAAATTTCATAGAAAATGTGTCCTCCAACAAAAACTGTCATATATGTGCTATACCATTTAGCTTTAGGTCAGTAAATGTTATTAATACTGTTTATTATAAACAGAGCATTTACTTAAATATTTGTATCTATAAAAAAAAGTATAAACAATAAATATATTAAAATAATTGTCGGACTTAGTCCATTTTATAATATATGACGTCATTTGTTTACGTTAAGATACGCTTTGAGCAGATATGAGCGTTCATAGAGAAATCATGGGAAATTTTTAGTTTAAAAGCAGTAATTCAACCTTGCTTTCTCTGTAGCTAAATGCTATAGCACATCAGGCTATATGACATTTCTGTGTAGGATACAGGTTTGATTCCAGTTGGAGAACACATTTTCTATGAAATTTCTTGGATATTCAGGCTGGTAAATGTTGTTAATACTGTTTATTATAAGCAGAGCATTTACTTAAATATTTGTATCTATAAAAATAATGTATAAACAGAGAATATATTAAAATATTTGTTGGATTTAATCCATTTTATCTAATATATATATAACCAATTTGTGACTGGTAGGGATAATTCCAAGGAAAATATTAATCCAGAGAGAGCTCAATGTAAACTACAGATCATTATAATTATAATAAATCGAGAAGAAAACCTCAAAGATCCATTTTGGTTATAATTTATTTCATGAATATCTTTCGTGAAAAGCTTTCGGTCTGAAGAGATGAATATAGAAAAGTATTCACAAAATAACTTATAACCGAAATGGATCTTTATGGTTTTCTTCTTGATTTATTATCATATTTAATTATAATTTAACATTAATGACAATATTTTAAAAGCATATTTTAATAAATATTTAATCTGTATTATTTACTTTTGACTCTAACTTGAAAAATTGTCATATATGAGCAATACTTCTTTTGATAAATTTTTTTTAAAATTTATGTTTGTCTAGAAAGGTGTAAGATAGATTCTGGAGATAAAAATTGTCTAGAACGACACCATAAACATAGAGAAAAATGTCTTGTTGTTGAAAATACATTATTTTAAATGGTGTACTTATTGGGTATATACAGTAAGACCAGAAATTATTCGTTTGGCCGATTTGTGTTTTTTCCAGATTTATTTTATCTCCAAAAATCATTTTAGCATTTTTAGCTGTTAGTTGACAAGTCTTTACTTTCTTGGCTATAAATTCAGTTATCACCAAAATTACATATTTTGTTCATTTTACCTAAACTTAGCTTATAGTTTTATTATTTACAATTTAAAAAATCTTTTATATGCAATGTGTAAAGACAGTTATTTACTCATCCCCCCACAGTGATGTGATCTGACACAAGGTCAAGTTTAATGTGGGGCACCAAAGCACATACACCTGGGCAAAAATTGCCCATCTCTAGCAACCATTGGTTGCACTGGCATCAATATTACTACCAATTCCCCACTCTCTATGGGAAGAATTGTAAGTTCGAATAAATCATCGGTCACCAAGATGCCTTCAGTAACCATTGAAGAATGGAAGAAAATCCCAGAAAACACTTGACTAAATCTCATCAAACACTTAAGAAAATGATTGCAGCAAGTTATAAAGATGAGAAGCCATCCTTTTGACTATTAATATTGTGAAAATTGTTCAATGTTTTTGATTTTTCATGCTGTACAAATAATTTTGTCTTTTCCTATTGTATTTAACCTATTGTTCTGAAAATAGTTTTATATTTCTTTTTTGTGCTTATTGACATATAAAAAACCTGGCAACATACTAGCATTATATTCTGAGAAATGGATAAAAATATTCAAAATTGATGGATGTACAAATAATGTTGTCATTGACTATAGATATATATATATATATGTCTGTATGTGTGTGCACGTTTCTTTTCAGTATATTTGGGTAGCAATTTTTAAAAACATTTTTCATTAATAAGAATAGATATTTTATGTATATTAAATTTGTCAATCTCTTTTTTTTTAATAAACAAATACCTTTTTATAAATATGACTGTTGTTTCTGCTTAAAATGCCTAAAATTCTTTCAATTATTAGAAAGAAAAAACAATAAACAAATTTAATAGACATAAAATGTCTTTTTTAATCATATATGAGAGTTGTTTATGTAGACCTATGAAATCATATGTACACTCTGATTTCATATTTTCCCTTACTCTTGAATGTGTTAAAGATAAATTATTTTACAAATGTTGCTGATGATTTTGTAAATTTATTTTTTAAGCAAAAGTCAACTGTAAAAATCATAATTATTCTATTTTTCAGCTCCTTTATGGGATATTGATGGCCTTGTGCCAGACAGAAAAATCATCCATTATGCTGGTATTCTCCTCTGCATCCTGCATTCTAAGCCTGATGCTTTGCATATTCATAGTTTGTTCTCATGTGACGATTTGTACAAGTTCCTACCGCAGTGAGATTCTGTGTAACTCTTTATTGATGAGTGGAGTTATCCTCACATTTCTACTGCTCTCCATAACATTTTTCAATTCCTTGGCTTTTGGTTTCATCCAGTCAATTAAAGTAAGTCACCATTGTTATTCTCTTTATGTATGTAAATAAAAATGTACCTATATATATATATATATATATATATATATATATATAACTTTAGGGTATTACATTTAAAAAACATGTCAAAATCACTACGCAGTCATGTTTCGATGCATATCAATGCATCTCATCAGACAATTGTAAATTACTGGTGAGTGAATGATTTATTTAGATTTGAAAGCAAAATACAGCCTTGTTTTACAAAAAAAAAGAAAAAAGGTAGGGTGTAGTTATAAGGTTTGTAGGCTTTACTCGGATCAATAAAATAAAGAATATTGCTCTACTTTATGTTGAGCCCTCTTTTAAATTAAATGTTACGAATGTTGGAATTGTACTTTATTCATTCTCATCTTACCTGGCTATATATATATATAACAAATCATTCATCTTCCTCTCCAAATTGTGAATGACTCTTTGCAAAAATGTCAATTGCTGATGTACAAAATTTCCAAAATTTTTATAATGGCTGTGTCCAAGCTTTTGACTCTGTGCGTCATCCTCTGGGGTGTGTAATTAATGTAATGACACAAGCGTTATAAAAGTTTGCAAAATTTCATACATCAACAACTGCCATTTTTGTGAAGGATAATTTGTATTTTGGAGAGGAAGATGGACAGATTTGTTCTATTAAATTTAAATATAACATTGCACTAAATGTGCTACTCACAACTCTTATTTTTTCACAGGCACACACACACACACATATATATATATATATATATATATATATGATCGAAATAAAAGTGTAAAATTTAATATTACAAGACATATTAAAACAATGTTAAATAATAAAAAAAAACACTCAACAACGGGGGGAGCAACCGGTTTCGCTCCCGCTCATCAGGCTTCCATGGGAGATTCAAAATTAAAACAGAGAAAGGTACAATCAGAATAGGTGGAAAAAAAAAAAAAATACATATATGTACATATATATACCTGTATATATGCAAGAAGGAACTAGAGGCAGATGACAGCGAGTCCCAGCAAACACTCACGTTGTTTGCACAAAGAAGGCTTGCGGGACCCGATGTAAAGCACCTCCAGAACCTTAAGATGAAATACGGAGTGTGACCGGGCCAACACGGTGAACCAGTCGACACTGAATTTGGCAGCACAATCTCTGCTATTTAAAAGATGTTCGCATATGGCGGAACTGTAGGTGTTCGGGATGAGTCCATTTGAAGGCAAGGTGTGGTTTCTGATTTTAGTTGGAACGTGCTGCTTTATTCTAATGTCTAAGCGCTGAGTTGTTCTCCCTATGTAGTTGGCTCCACAACTACAAACGTATTTGTAAACAATTGAATTAATATGGTGGGGAGGGAGAACGTCTTTACACGCAGATCGAAACATAGGCTGAGTTTGAAAAATAATCCGAACTTCAGCAGAGAAAAAGCAACAGCGAACCTTTGATGAAATTTGCTTGGCTATTTTGTCACATTTGGTACCAATCCAGGGTAATCTAAGGATTGGTACCAAATGTGACAAACAGGTATATATATGTACATATATGTATTTTTTTTTTTTTTTTTTTTTCCACCTATTCTGATTGTACCTTTTCTGTTTTAATTTTGAATCTCCGTGGAAGTTTGATGAGCGGGAGCAAACCGTATGCTTCCCCCCTTGTTGTTGAGTGTTTTTTTTATTATTTAACATTGTTTTAATATGTCTTGTAATATTAAATTTTACACTTTTATTTCGATCATTAAATTTTGTACCTACAAAAATATCTTTATTATATATATATATATATATATATATATATATATAATATATATATATATATATATATATATATATGATTTATGGCCCTTGAAACACCAGTTTTTGAATGATCACTAAATTGAAGAAATGTTGATCCGGGTCAGTACCTAAATAGATGACCACTTAGGAATACCGGGTGCTATAAGTTTGGATGTGTAGATGATGTAATAGATGACAACTTGAAATTGGAAATTGGAGAGCTGAGTTTCAATTAGGAAAGGTATCAATCCACCTCTGTTTTATTTTTTCTCTTGGGAAAGTTATAAATTCAACTCTTCTCCATCCAGCTATGGGTTAATTAGTAGGACTTTTATCAGTGAATCATTATCTCCAAAAAATGCTTACAATCTAAAAATATTTTCTGGCTTCAAATAACTTGCAAAAGGTTGATAAGCTGTAAAAACATATATATATATATATATATATATATATAAATATTTGACAATGTTCTGTAGTGACTGTGGTTATTTATTTGTAATGCAAGTTATCTCATTCACATACACTCAGTATCAGAAGGGATACATGCCTGAACTTACTATTGCAATCATTAGTGAGTATCTATGCGGATGCTATAACAGTTTATAAGTGCACCTACGAACAAAAAATCTGGAAGACCAGAACTCAGCAAATCATCACTTCTCTTACCTAGCCCAGGTAGCTCAATGGGTAAAGGAATGGCTTCCAAAACCAAACTTATAACGTTCCACCTCCAGCAGGACTTTTATCTATCATGATGGATGAGACTTCTCTCAAGGAGGCTCTTTGCCTTGAACATCTATTGGGGCTCAAGCTCCTCTTAGATCTCAAGTGGATCTGATCTATTGCTAAATATGCTGGAAAAATGAGTATTTGACTCTTTCCTTGCTATACTCTACTTTTACAAAAGCCAGATCATACCAAAAAAGGAGTATTGCTGCCCAGTCCTCACTTACCTGTCTTGATAGAGTTCAAAATGCATCGATACAGACTTGTGGGTGATGAACTATTTTCGATCCTACAACACCCTTCCCACAGATGAAATGTGAGCCTCTTGCTGCTGCATTGCTATTTTTATGGCATGTGTTCTGATGAGCTACATTCCTTAGTCCCATCACCCCAGACCTTTATAATTGGGATCCATCATGCTACGTACATAAGGGTGACTCATCCCAATTCCCTTCGTATTTCACTAGTAAGAAGTAAGTTCCATTCTAACAACTTCCCAAGAACTGCTGCTTTGTGGAACAGACTCCTGGCTGGATGGCTCAATCACTACAATCTTGACCTCTTCAAGTCTAGGTTAACCATTATCTTTTTTGGATAACCCCATGAACTTTCTGCCTTTACTTATGCTCATGCGACACCACACAGTAACCCTATACTATAAGTGGCTCTTGGGCCTTATATGGGGTGAACATTAGTATATTGAAATAATAACATGTGCAAAAGTTAGGAGCTACTTGAGGTAAAATAGAATTAACTGCTTTTATTGAATGAAGAAAAACTAAAATTGCACAAAATATATTTAGGGCCATTATCTGTATTTGGTATGGTTCCGTTTGGCACAAGCTACAATAACTCAACATGGATTTTAGAGGAATACAATTTAAAAATTGTTTCATCAGGAATGTTCTGGTATTCATCTTGACAGTCAAACACCAAGCCATAAAATTTTAAGGATGTGTTTTTTTTTTTTTCAAAACTAATTTACTAGCTCACTTCAGGCCAGGGAGTACTTTCTATTCCTGAATGGTTTTATCATATTCAAATAATAAGGATGATGAAATTACAGCATGAAGTTTCCTTAAAATTTTAGTTCTTTTTGCCTAATCTTAGGGCTGGTGAATTTTAAATTTTAAGTACGCCCCCCCCAAAAAAAAACACAATGAGATACCATGCACTAATAGGTTAAATGGCTTCATCATCCTAGCTTAGTAAGAGTTAATTAAACGAAAGAAGACATGAAACTTACTAATCATTAAATTCAGAATGTGGCTCCAAACTTTTGATCTATAGTCATAGTATCTGTGTGTGTGTGTGTGTGTGTATATATATATATATATATATATATATATATATATAAGGTCATCCCATAAGTTCTGTCCAAATTTTGAATAAAGAAAACAAGTGACCAAATGTTACATTTAATTACAGATTCAACAATGTATTTTCCCTGATTATCTATGACTTCCTTCCATCTATTAACAAGCTTACTAATTCCATTACTGTAAAATTCTTTTGGCTTTGATTCGAAGAACTCACAAATGTGAGTTTTAACCTTTACCTGTGTTACAAAAGCTGTTTCTTCCAAATGATTCTGTAAGCTACAAAACAAATGGTAGTCTGAAGGAGCAAGATCGGGAAAATAAGGTGGATGAGGAATTTTCTCCCAACCAAGTTCTTTGATCTTTTGTGACATGATTCTTGCTGTGTGGGGTCGTGCATTGTCCTGATGAAACATCACCCCTTTTCAATTCACTAGAGCAGGTTTTTTTTTCCTCAAAGCTTGGTTCAAACGCTCTAATTGCTGACAGTATATTTGAGCATTAATTGTTGCATTAGGTGGTAAGAATTCAAAGTGGCGATCCCACCAGATTGAAAGAAGAACCTTTTGCCCATGAAGTTCCCTTCTTGGCTGTGGTCCTTCATCCATTTTTCATCGCCAGTCACAAGTCTATCCAAAAAAGGTGAAACAAGTTGGCGAGAATGGAGAGAAGAGCAGATGTCAACTCGGGATTTGAGGTTGTTTTCAGACAATTCATGAGGCACCCATTTTCCAAGTTTAGAAACTTTTCCAAGTTGTTGAAGATGATGATGAACAGTTGTATGGTTTGAACTGAGAACCACTGCCAATTCCTCAACTGATAAAGCAGGGTTTTCTTCAAGGGCTGCTTCAAGAAGCTTTTCATCAAACTCAATCTTCATCTTCAAGGGTGAAATCTCCACCTCTGAATTTTGCAAACCATCTTCTGCAAATTCTTTCATTCACAGATTCCTCTCCATAAACTGAGTGAATGTTTCTAGCTGTTTCAGCTGCTGAGTTTCCTTTCTTGAACTCATAAAGCATTATGTGCCTCAAATGATTCTTGGGTACTTCCATTTTAGCAGGGTTTTAATCAAACAAAATTTAATTTTATTGTTCTCTGAAATAAAATTTGATCAGTTTAAATGCATCTAAACATAAAAATAATGTTCAGCTCCATTAGACATTATAAAATACTCTTTAAATTTCGTTCATTTTAAGAAAAAGTTAAAATTTGGACATGGGATGACCTGATATATATATATATATATATATATACATAAGAATTTATAAAATTCATTAGTCATACATAGAAATAATTTCAACTGCAACTTAGATGGAAAGTTAAATGTTGGTATTTTATCTTGCTAAAATGTAAATCTGTGCCCTAAATCTTTTAAAATATCTCCTTTTCTAAAAGATATCTTCCTTTCTCAAGCACCAACATATATGACCATAAGAATTTTAAAAAACAGTTAAATCAAAACTATTTATTTAAAGTAAAAGAATGCATAAATAACTTATCAAATTAAGATAAAATAATAATAATAATTACATTAATAAAAAGTAAATAAATATACATAAACAATTAAGACGAAAAAATTAAATTACATCACTTAACATCCTCCATAGTTTACCTTGACTTTCACCATTAGCCTGATGAATATTTATGAATGTTAAATTTAAAAATTTTGAAAATCTAATGATATTTTTATTTTTGTTTATTAACCTGGCCGTTGGTCTCGAAAACAACCTCCAATCTGTGGAGCAGGACATGGCCTGTGAATTTTAATGCATCCAAAATGAAACTGCTGTTATTTATTCATCATGCCTCTTATCAGCATGGTTGATGCTCAGACCCATGAGAGCATCTCACTGCAGCTTCTTGGTCTCACGAAAGTTGGTTCTCTGTATGGCACCAGAAGGTTTTTCTCATCTGAGTCCATCCTTCACATCTACAAATGTACCATTCACCTGTGCATGGAATACTGTTGCCATATATAGTTCTGCTATTCCCGCTCTTTATCTTTAGGTTCTTGACAAAATCCAAAGACAGATATCCAATGTGATCAGTCCTGACTTCAGTCACTTTCTCATTGACATGATGTACCTTCCCTCTGTCTTTTCTATAAATATTTTCATGGCATCTGCTCTGATGAACTATTTTCACTGGTGCTCTGACTGCATGAATTTAAGTATGCTACTAGGTTGGTATCTCAGTCCCACCCTTTTAACACACTCTTTGGGTTCTGTCACTGGATCTAACGATCTATCCACTGTGTCATGTATGAGTTCAATACCCAGTTAAGGTAGTGGAGAACTTTCAGAGGGAAATTAACAGGAGATAACTGATAACTGACATCCATTAAATATGGCACATGAAACTAGAACAGTCTACCCCAGTGAGCGAAATAAAGGGTTCAGTTCGACATTCCAACCACCTGAAGAAGGCCGGAGCATACAATGGCTGAAACATTGTAATAAATATGGCAACAAAGATGAGGACAATAGTCTGAATAATGTAAATAAAGTAACTAATGTTTTTATCACAATATAATGACATGATCATTGGTATAAAAAGCAACAAGAAAGATGAAAGAAAAATTAATATTGAAAATAGTTAATCTCAGAAATTCAGATAATTTTTTAAAAATGAAAAATATAAATTTAGAAATACATTCATCTTTGAGTTAATCTTGGAAATGTAAAAACAGAATTTGTTTTTTATAGAATTTATTAATTAAAGTTAGAATTACAATTACAATGTTTTTTTCTTATTCTGTAGGCTATGTTTGACAACAAGATGGTTTCTTTCTCTGGGACAGCATTATTTTTGGCTCTTGGCTGTTTACTTCATTGTGTAAGTTTTATGTCAACCAGTTTTGTAGAGGAAGAGCATCAGACATGGTATTTTTTGACTGTTAGTGTTTTTGTTGTCATTGTAATTGATGCACTACGAAACCAGCTTACTTGCCACAGACTTACCTTTTCATCATCTCTAAATACATCAGACTCATTGCGAAGCCAGAAACTCCTACCAAACAAGTGAGTGTACTTACTTATGTCAAAAATATAATCTGCATTATAAATTCATTATTATAGATGCATGAGGACAAATCAATAAGTTTGCTGCCTTAAACATAAATAGTAACTGAATTTTCATCTGAACTCTTCACTGTATGTTTGATTATACCTATTATTAAAGAATGAAAAATCTTCTTAACCTTTATTGTTGTCCTGGGTAAGACGTTAAACTACATCCAGCAGCAAGGCCTCTGATCAGGAGGTTTTGATGAGCGTGGAACCCCCTCTTAATTGCTGGTGTTTCCAGATCCACCCTGACCCAGAGGGGTAGCACCTGTTAGGGTCCCAGCTATGGGCAAATAGTTAACTATTACCAGCAATACTTTTCTGGAAGAAATTATTAATACAATTTTGAAGGAAATATATTACCAGCAATAAAAAATTTTGTTGGCATTAAATAACCCATCGAGGTTGATATGCTGTAAAACAAAATTAACCAAACCAATCTAAACCAAAGAATACATCTTCTATTCATATGAATCTATCCTAAAAATGTTGTCGGCATTAAATAATCAATTGAGGTTGATATGCTGTAAAACAAAATAAACCAAACCAAACCTTTATTGCTCTGTATGTTACTTCATTTCCTGTGCAAAAAGTTTATCCTGCCACTGGAGATGACTGATCTCTGAATTTGAATTGTTTGAATTTCATAGATGTGTTGTCATATCCTGCTATTGCAACAGAAAACACCTTTGAGTTGAATTAACAATAAGGATACTGCAATTGAGAGGCCTTGAAAAAGAATGCAGTAGAAAGGAAAGTAATATTAATAATGCAGAGTGCTAAAGGTTAAATAAATCAAAAATATTTTGTAGTAATTTTTGACATCAACTTGATATTTTTCTTGTTAAAAGTTGAATAATTTTAACACATTCAACATTATGGATATAAAATAGTGAATTTTATATATTGTTTTTTGGTAACTTATGAACAAAACAAATTCACAAATTTGGACAAAAAAGACCCCAAAATGATGTCAAAATCCATAAAAATTTAATAGTTTGATAGTTATTTGTGCTTAGTTTAATTTGTAACATGAGGGCTTGATCATGCTGGCCTTGTTCAAGTTGTTGATCACACTAGATAACATGCTCTTTCCCAGAAACTGTAACTAAGGTCTGTTCAGCATAGTTGCAGTATAAACCAAAATGGGCTCTATGGGTGTTGAATAAACACAAACGCACCTGAGCAAGCGTCTGCAATAGGGATTGGCTAGCCCCCCTAGTAGACAGGTATCCTCAAATACGTGTGGCCAGCTATATAATTTGTAACATACAAAGGTAGGTAGAAAAAGGCAAATGTTAATAAGACAGTGAGGATTGCTTACAAAGCACTACCCAGAGCCCCTATTCGCCTCTCCCCCTCCCCACAAGTCGGGAGAGGGGGGTTAGTAGGTTAGTATGCACTGGTCTTGGGACTAAGGCATGATTGCCCTAGGTAGGTATTAATATTTAATGGGTGGATACCTCATAAATCATTAAATTGTGATTCTTTGGAATATTATTTTGTCTATTTTAGTAAAATTAGGTTTACATTAAAAAAACACTAGTGTAAATATGGTTTGATATTGAGGATTAAACAATTTCTTTTTCACTCTACCAGAATTCAGCAATCTTCTAGTGTGAATAATAAAGCAGTCCTTGTGACTGTTTTTCTGCTTATCTTGTGCCGATTTCAAAGATCCTGGAATCAAACTGGAGACAAATGGCAACATCTGTCTGATACTGGAGATTGGCTGATGAGGTGAGTTAAATTTTTCTTAATCTCACATGAAAAAGGATTAAAAAATAATATTATTTCCATCCCATAATGTATGAAATACTATTTCCATCCCATAATAGTTGTTACATTTACATGAAATTTGTCCTAAAATAGTTATATTAGTACAGTGATTCTCAACTGCTGGTGTACCACACAATCCTCTTAAGTCACAAAATTGCAAAAAAAATGCCAGGCACAGATTTCACGCTTAATTAAGCTGCACAAATAAAAACATTATTCATATTTGTGTGTGTATATTTTTAAAGTCTATGGTTTCATTTCATGGCATTTAAATGTATACCTTTTAAAAATTTTGCTAAGTGTGCCGTGATATTTACATTTGCTCCTAGGTGTGCTGTTGCTTAAAAAGATTGAGAAACACTGTATTATTAAATAAAAATAAGTGTTGAACTGATGATAAGACAGGCTTCAAAAACTTGGGCACACTTCACTGTCTGCACTGTTATGTTACACTTACCTTTGGCAACATTCACTGGTTCTTGGGTGGGGGGGGTGACAAGTTGTCAATCCTACCACATCAGCTGTAATCTGCTCCTACCATTTTGTGACTAGCCATGCCACAATCTGTTCTCTGCTGTGTTGCAATTGGTGTTGTGTTTATCTGTTGAAGTGGATATCTGACAGTCCCATGGTAAACCTTTTAGCTGAAAACAAATTCTAATCACAAGTCTGTTCTGATAACAAACAACTATTTTTTGACTACATGATTCCGTCTTCTTTTTTTTTTATTATTATAGCTGGAGTGAACGTAAGGTCTCCTTTCCTTTCAGGCCTGTTACTATGCATGGTTAGTTTAACAATAGCAACTTTTTTCATCTCTGTTCTTTCTTTTAAGTCAGTTTCTTCTTTTCTTAATTCAACTCCATCTTTCTAAATCCTGTGAAAAGTAGCTTTGTATCTCTAACAGCCAGGAGATTAAATGGGCCTTACTGACTGATAGGGGCGGCTTTTTCCAGTACCTGCACCTTTCTGAAGTCTTTGGACATTAGAATTGTCAACTAGGCCTTTTCTCCAGACAAAGAATATTCTCTTGACAAAAATCAGATGCCTTGAGGCTAGCTAGCTGAGGCCACTAGATAAACCTATAAATATATTTCTTTATTTTCCAGTGTAGGATCAAGTGATGAGAAATACATGGATTTTGGGTGAATAAGAAAATATTCAGATGATTTTTTCCTCACTTAGTCATTTGAAGACTGTCACATACAGACATTTTAATATTAAGAATACAAGTTTTAACTCTCGCCAATTTCAATCTCAAAGACTTAAACATTTTTTATACATTCTAATTAGCTTCCAGATCTTTTTGCATTAATGCATATGTCCTCAAGGGCTCGATCCTTGGACCTACATTGTTCCTAATTTTCATCAATGACTTTCCTGATGTCATCAGTTCTCAGTCCTGTATCTATACTCATGGTACAACTATTTACCCCTGTCTTAATTGTAAGTCTGATTGGTTCAATAATATCATGTTGGCAGCTGGTATAAAAGATTACCTACAATCTGTTGTTAACTGGAACAAGAAATGGCTTGTTAATTTTAATGCCTCCAAAATGAAACTGCTCACCTAATTGTCTAAGAGAACCCTTTTTGCCTTCCATCAGCATGAAAAAGCCAAGCACTGTTTAGATTATTTGGACTATTGTCCTCATCTTTGTCGCCATATTTATTACATTTCGGCTGTTGTACACTCCTGCCTTCTTCAGGTGGTTGGAATGTCGAACTGAACCTTTTATTTTGCTCACTGGAGTAGACTGTTCTAGTTCCACTCCAGTGAGCAAAATAAAGAGTTCAGTTCAACATTCCAACCACCTGAAGAAGGCTGGAGCGTACAATGGTTGAAATGTAATAAATATGGTGACAAAGATGAGGACAATAGTCCGAATAATGTAAATAGTGTACATAATACCTCATCTCAGAAATATAGACAGATACCAAAAGCCAAGCAGTGGTTAATTTAAGAAAGTAGTTATGCTTGAAATCAAGTAGACAGTTATCATCATTAGTGATATCTTTTGTGTAGAGGAAGTAAGTAGATTTTGGGGTGAAATAATGTGTTTTATTTACTGTACAGTAATTATTTATAGAATGTCTTAAGGATTCTATTTTTTTTTTTTTTATCAGTTTATCCTATAATATAAAATATAATGTCTGCTGTAATGCCAACATACAAAACTCCTAAAAAAATGTCTTTTATTTTGCAGACCTGAAAACAAATTTCTCCTGTCAATTGTGTGTTTATCATTTTTGTTGATTATTTTGGTATCCATCTGGATTCATCGTATCCAACAAATCCGTTCTTGCCACCAATTGTTACTACTTGCTGCCCTCATCTATATTTATTTATTTCATGCGGCTACAAAAAAACTCTTAACTCCTCCGCCATGGCTTTGGAACATCAGTGAAAAGTAAGTTTTATTCTGATCTTTTTTTTTTTTTTTTATTACATCATTATATTTTGATTGACTTTGTTTTAAAAAAAAAAAATAGCTTTGTATTGAAATATGTTGCATATTGTAAGTCATACTTTCCTATAGAAATGTGAAATAAATTCTTAGTTGTCAGAAAACAATTTATTCCATAATTTAAATTATTTTTTATTCAGTCAAGCTAGCTCGGCGATTCACGACTCTATCATGCCAACTGTTTTGATCTGCATAAAACTCAGGAGTAAAGTGTTTAAATCAACTATCATTGAAATAATTTAAATAATCACAGATAATAATGAACAGTCTGGCTTTTTTCTGTTTGTTTCTCTGTCAATAATTCTCGTTCATGTTAAAGCAAACAGAAACAAAAGAAATAGGTACTATGAACACAGAGAAACAAAATGAGCTGCTGTGTTTGTGTGTTCACAACTGTTGCTGGCAATATCACTACGACTACTACTACTGATGATGTTAGCATGTGGAAACAATGATAAGCATCTCTGGTTTTTCATAAATAAAACTGATATTTTTCTTATATTAAAAAATATAATTAAAGATGTTATTTTGTTTCTTTACTAAAAAAAAAACATTTTCTAGAATTTCAAATATACATTCAAATTTATTTTTAATGAATTAATAACTAGTAAATAATATTACCTTTCCCAGGTGTACATTCATTTATGTGCAAATACCCTCTGGAAA